CAAAAGACATAACAACACAGCTGTCAAAGGATAAGTACAAACCCAAGTAGAAGTACAAACCCAAGTAGAAGTACAAACCCAAGTAGAAGTACAAATGCAAGTACAAGTACAAGTATTCTAATGAACTTATTAGAGACAAGTACAAGTACAAATACTTTTTTTTCAGGTACAAGTGCAAAAGCAAGTATACTTGTACATAGGCAAGTACATATAGCAGTACTTGCTTTGAAGTATAAGTAAAAGTACAAACTTTCTTTTTCGAGTAAAAGTAAAATACTTTTACTTGCTATACTTGTACTTGTCCGAGCTCTGCAATCTACTTTGAAGTTATAATTCTTTTTACTCTAAGACTAATTCAAAGATGAGTGATATTTTTGTATCACTCTTATATATGCTACGCCTAATGAGATTTCTAAATGGCATGATTAATAGTCGCAAGATGAAAATCATCGTTATTTTCGGACAACCATGATTAAGTATCATTTGAAAACAGGCCGATTATTAAGAGGAAATAGACTGACAATAAGCTGTGAGTTTGGTTCAGGTATTGATTAACTACATGTTCCTTCCATAGTGAAACATCTTGTAAGCAAGATCTGAAAATCTTGGAATCGGTAAGTAAGATCTTATCAAGATCGTAAAAAGATAATTTGTATGTACATATATTAGTTGTATCAAATAAATCTGTGCTTAGGATCTCGACAAGATCATGGAAAATATATCGTTTACTACTATCTTCTCACAAGATCTTGAGTCAAACAGAAAACGATATCATTATAGTGTATTTACATAGGCTATCTAGTCATTCACAGTTTTTTTATACATACAGAGCTGAATATAAGCAACATGATTAAGCATAACATAATTTTTCAAAATAATTTTTTTCTAAGCTATCTCTCGATTATTGATTATTCGAGAGAGGACTTCCCTAAATTGGTTTAACGGATATCGGACCAACATAAAGCCAGTCAGATCTCAACATCTGACCTGCTTGAGTTATTCGGGACAGGAATAATTAAAATTAAAATAATTTGAAAAAGTATGACAACATGCTTTCAGAATGCGTCATCCAAGATCTTCTGGATTCTTAAGTATGATCTATTCACTTACCTGTACCCAAGATCTTACTTACAAGATGTTTGACTAGGGTTGCGTTTTCGTCAGGACGGAATATGTACATATACTTATGAGAACGCTTTTATTTAGTACGAGCAATCGGACACATGACCGAATATATTGTCTCAAACAATAAATGTTTGTGTATTCTGTTAAATATACAATGTCATGCACATTTTTTTCTCTTCTTTTCTGGTTAATGATTTTTTTCATTTCTCGTTACGCTAATTCTTACCTTTCAATTGATTTTTCTTTTCGTGATCTTTTTTTCGCTTCTTTCTTTCTTCCTATGAGATGCACTATTTGTTAATTTTTTTTGTTCCTTGAAGACGTTGAATCTCAAGAATCTTTCCCATCTGTTTAATTGCATATATTGATATATCAGCGCATTTGTACTTGACGTAAAAGTGCTTTTACTCCGTGTAAGTATATCTTGCTTGTGAAAATATGACAAACACTATCACTTTGACTTATCAGACTATTTCATTCGATCACAACGTTCTGCTTGATTTCATTTTTCTCTCTCCCATTCGATACGCCGACGAAGAGGTCAGGTATAACATGAGGAAGATTTGTTTATTATTTTATTTTAAAATAGAGGACACTTCATGAACGTATAGAAAAGGTAATGTACACTAAATTTCCTCATGATCATTCTTTATCCTTATGTTTTACGTATACCCAAGTAAGCAAAAAATGAAGGGAGACTGCCGACATGACTAGTCAGAAATGTCCACAGGATCCGTCTAGTCTAGTCAGTTTAATGAGGAGTGTCTTAGAAACACGTCTGTACTAGTCTGAAATGTCTTTGAGTCCAGCCATGTCTAGTCCGTGTTGTCTGTTGACCGAGTCCAGACTAGTAAGAAGATTGAACATTCAGCCCGACAGTGTTCGAGATATGACGGACATCCTGACGGCAGACTAAGACACTGCGATAGACTGCCGTAAGTATATATAGTCTAAACTTATATATCGACTCCCACTCATACATAGAAAATAAGAAACAAACCAACGTAAACAGTATTGACTAGTCTGAAGCATCTTTTGGGCATCTCATGACTAGTCCGTTTTTAAGAAGTGTTTATTTTACTCAATGCTTATCGAATTTTTTCTAGCTAGAAGGACAAATAGAGAGTCTGCTGTAATCAATAGTGCATTCGAAAAGATTTAATATAGTGCGTGCATCCCTGTCTTGATATATTCTATTTTATTTTACATTAGTTAATGCTAAAAGTTTAAGAGTGTATCAAAACATAAAATAGTAGAGGTTAGTACTAACAACAAAATTCATCTCGTATCTAGGAGTGTTAATTTATATTTTTTTTTCAAAATGTGAGATGTAGTAAATTTGGAAAAAATGAGAAGCATCTAAATCTTTTTCATATAATACTATTATGTTAGTTAATTTTAAATATCAATTGTAATAATTTAAAATAAATCAAAGATAATTTAATTATTAGATGAATATACGGTGATATAAATTTAAAACTAAACTAAAAAATAATATGAAAAAAGTTAGCTTCCATTCCATACAAATATTTTTTAATTTTATATTCAAATTAATGTTTTTAAAAGGCAACTAATTCATCGCACTTGCTTATAAATCAAAATATATTTGTCGAAAAAATTATAAAACCTTCTTAATTTATTTCTGTTTAATGTTATCTAAAGTAATCGCGTTTCGATAAAAAATAATTTTATTGATACAGAAAATTAAAAATTTCGAGTAAAAATTGTATTAAATAGCATCTTAGAATGAGCATGAGTGTGTAGAATATGACTTCTCGATCATATGGCTCAATGGTTCTGGCGATGGGTAAGTGTCACATTGTATACATGTTCGAATCTAATCTTCATCCTTACATATTTCCATTCAGATTAGTCCGTACTCGTCCCAGACGCCCTTAATTTTTTTATCCATAAACCATCTTCGGACAGTACATGAGAGTAAAAAAACTGTAATATTTTCATATCGTAGCGATAGTCTGGCTTAGCTTGTCCAAAAAACGGTTTTTATTTTTTTAGCATTTTATTGTGAATTCCTCTTGCATTAAGCTTTATACTTAGTTGAGTTAAGCTGAATATAAGTGAAAAATATGACTTGTCACTAATCTACTAGTAACTGGGCACCGCGTAAAAACGTAGGATAGATAAAAGATCGAATTCATTCTTATAATTGATTGCTCTGTTTGGTCAGATGCTCGAAAGCATAAACAAAAACTATTTTACGGCTTTGCTATTCGATAGTATCGTGAGAGATCTGTTTAGTATGGTAGTTGCAGATTTTTATCATTTTTACCTGCTATCAAATTATTCAGCAATACTGTGACTTTCAACGTTTGAGAATATTATTTAATACTATTAATCAAGGCTGTAAATTTTGCGTTTATTTATAGTGTAATATCTTCATTCAAGATGGTGTCCATAGTCAAACCGCTGCTCATGCTGAATATGATACTCATCGCTATCGCTTATATAAATATAATGAATTGGATCAGTATGAAGACTTCTGAAAACGATCATGAGAAATATCTAACTGTATCCTATTACAGTACAACTTCTATGCACCCAGAAAACAGCTTTAAATGCTACCAACAGAACAGCTCAAGCATTCTGAAGGACTTCTATCAGCTAGATTGTAGTAATCCATTTCTCAAACAAATCTCTCTAGCAAAGTTGAATGCGAAAGACGATGTCTGTGAATTATTTAATAACTCAATCGATGGCACTGAATATAGAACACTTTATCATAGAATCAAAATGGATTTCCAAAACTTTACTGAAAAAATCACACATTATGATATTCTTAAGATGGGAGATGCGTGTCCAGGATGTCATCATATTCAATTAATCGATGGTCAATTGTTTATTGTACAACGGAGTACTGCATTCAATTATCAAACAAGGTCCCGAAGCATAAAAACAATGTTGAAACACGTTACTGACACATTTAAAACTATTGGAAACTTTGAAATGTTCATACATTTACGTAAGTAGTACATAATATTAAATTATCCCTAAAAACTACACGGAGAATTTACCTATTTTGAATACAAAATCAGTTATGTCTACTACTATCAGTAGTTAATGATTTCGGTAGTAAGAAAATCATACTTCATCTGTCATGTTTTGATGGCACTGTTGTTTGAGATACTAAAATGAGTGGATAGTACCACTAGCTATTTAGTTCTTTGCTGATGCACAGCATGCTAGGAGTTATCATTAAGCAAATAAGCATATGAACTTTCCAAAACTCTTAACGATTACTATTATATAGGACTATTTTCTGCTCTACCTTAGTTAGTTGATTCAACCGGTATATTTTGTTTCCCTATGAATTAGTGAGTCAATTAATACTTTTCTATGTTTGAGAGCAATAGATAGATTCCTGGAGAAAAATGTTTCCTCGATGCGAGCGAATAATCATTCTCAGCATTTTAAGCAAGACTATTAAGAAACTCGATGAGCATAGGGACTTCAGAAGGAATACATTGGCATTCATCCGTGAAATTATCGTCTCTTATGATCAATTTCATAAAGAACGGCAAGTGACACATCAATCTTGAGAATGATGAGAATTACAGTGTGACATATTCTGTTACGCAAGTGTCATTGCAAAACTAATACTTAGTGTCTAATTTTGAAAGATAGATGAGTATGAGTCGACAAGTAGCACACAGGACTAACAAAAATACGAAAAATACATGCATAGAAAAAGGTATCAGGAAAATAAACCTGAAAATAATGCACACATCTGATCAATATGAGTTTTAAATGATAGAGTTCAGATAACTTATTTTCAAGGGTTTACACTTCAGTCCAACTTTATAATATGAATTTTTTCAGAGGATGCAGTATTTTTGAAATCACCGGAGCTCGACAGAATGAAACACAAAGTACCTGTGTTTGGCTTGACAAAGACTTACTCGAAAATAAAAAGGAGTCTGCATCCAGATGGAATAGTCCTGATTCCTTGCTTTACACTATGGTTCTTTACAGCACCATATATCGGTAGATGGCGAAACATTGTTGAAAATTTACCTAAGGAGGCTGACAAAATTAAATGGGAATATCGAATTGGTAAAGTAGTGTGGCGAGGTGCCCGAAACGGAGAGCGAGCTTGGCTTACAGGAATCGGTGAACAAAGAAATAAGTCATTATTAGACATTGAATTCATGGATTGGAAGCCTGGTAATCACAGTCAAATTTATACAGATAACTTCAAAACTATATATCAATATTGTGAATATAAGTATTTACTACATCAAGAAGGTTCAACGTACTCAAATAGACTCAAATATTTACTACTTTGTGGATCTCCTGTCATTTATGCAAATTTTCAGGGTTGGCAAGAGTACTGGTATCATTTATTAAAGCATGATTATAATGTTCTGGAATTCAAGGCAAAAGGCAATGAAACTCTGTTTACAAATATTACGGAAGAGATTAGTAAAGACGATAATAAAGCAAAACGTATAGGTATAAATGGTAGAGCTCTGGTACAAAAGTATTTGAATGAACAAGCGATTTTGTGTTATTTTCGTAACGTCCTGATCGAATATAGCAAACTATTTGCATATAAACCTGTTAGACACCCCGATGCAATAGATATTGATGATTTTCTTGTCGGATATTCAAGTTGAAATAATTTTCTAGGATGTTTCTTTACTCTATAATAAAGAAATAAAAGATCATTAATTAGAGTATATAATTTATACTCAGAATCGAATATTTGCTGGAATAACAGCACGCTGTAGATTTTAACACTGATTAGAAAAAACAACAACAAGAGTAATAATAGATTAAAAATATGTTTATATTATAAGCCTTTCATGATATGATTGTATATTTAACGATGAATTTGAAGTTTTATTTGTGGTTTTGAATATAAAGTGAGCGGCTTGTCCATGTAACGCGCTACTTCGCTCCTCAAGTTTTGAAAAATGTTTTTTTTCGAGATGGAGATCTCTATGCATGTATTGTTAGATGCAAATTTTTGCGCTGGTTACGAATCTAGAACTTTTTTTTATTAAAAAAGTGAAATTTTCGCATCCTAAATCGCATTTTATAGTTCCAAAAAATCGAATTTTGAACTTTTAAACGAAAAACGTTTTTGGCAAAAGTGGTCATATGTAGAGAATAGAACATTGAGTGTGAAAATAAAATAGGCCTGACTATCTTAAGTAGTTCAGAATCGATCGGCAAAAAGTATGGGTGTGTGGGTCTGGGTCTAGTTCATTGGATAAGGCACTAGTACACACCCACACCCAATCTGTATAGTTTTTTTGAGATGGGTTTTTTTTTCTGTTTAACACTTTCCAGTGATTTCTTACACTCCTTCATTTACATGCATATATATGTTATTGAAAGTTTATTTTGAAATAATAACCATATGGAAAAATAAACTTTGCATCGCTTCAAGCTTCTTGAAAGAAAACATTTGAAAACATGCTATTAGTATGGCTATTAGTTTGAAATTTTGTCAGCCACATCCATTATCAAGTGGTATAGCTTTTTGTGAAAAACGAAAACGAGCATGAATGCAAAATGCAACAAAAACTGGTCGATTATTGAAAGTTTTTACAACTTTTCATACGGCGCGCAAGAATGGAAATAAAAACGCTCACTTTGATTAGATTAATTGTACTGCATATCATTGAGACCGATTGAATCGATTAGTTCATGGAAAGATGTCATGAAAGTCTAGATATATTTGAGATTTAATTCAGTCAGTACTTGAAAAATGCAATCTTTTTTTTTATCAAGTCTATTTCAAGATCAAGTTAGTAAAACTCGTCATTTGATTTCTTGCATACTACAATTCTTATCTTTAGTTTGAACAACTCTTTTTTTGTTACTTGCATTGCTGTAACTTAATATGAATATTTTGTCTAATTGTCTAAAAAAACTATAGTTGTAAAGCGTGATAATGTTCAAAATTAAATTTGCTCACTCAAATATAACTTTTTGTCTTTTGTACTAGAGTTATGGTTTTACATGTTGACCGACGACACTCGAATATAATTACAGCTATTCTCCCTGATTCTGTTTAATAATATTTGATACATAGACGAAGAAGAATTAATACAAGGACCAATAATTGTGAGGTGTATAAAAAAAAAGAAGTATGCACATATAGATATGCAAAAAAATCGATGGATAGTTTCGACTGATAACAACCAATTATACAGTTATGCACTGGTAGTTTTCCCCACATCTTTCGTTAAACTGATCACACTATAATTAAAGCGTAACCTATTGACTGTTACTTTTATGGCTTGCTGTCGCTTACATGATTCCGAAAACATTTCATATGTACATCACTTTCCAAGTATCTCAACGCGTTTTCTATAATTTCATAGTCATACATATGTCATCCTTTTTATTCATTTTCGATGGGAGTCATCCCTACGTCATGTGATAAAATCTTTCAACTGAATCATAGTTGCTAACATGTGTATTTGCGTCAGCGATGATTTTAATTATGTTGGGAAAAACATGAATCATTTTCAAGGAAGTATTTGCCAATATAAAACCATATAAATTTTTCAGTTATCATCACTTTAATTTATTTCTCAAACCGACAAGTGAATCGACGATCATTTCTACAATTTCCAGCGTCTTCTCAGTAACAAAAAAACAAAAAGAAATAATGTACGTATGCTGCTGCTGTTGTATTCAATATGTCCCAGGACCATATGGTCAAATGGTGCCTTGCCTTTGTTGTTATCCTGCAGTAATGCCTTAATTTGGTGATGGAACCGAAGCTAGCGTAACAAGAATGTGACTTATTTCAACATGAAAAATTCTCAATTTCTGCAGGCAGAGATCAAGAAAATCTTTCTAGTTCTATTCTATTCATTCATACAATGATCACCAACAATACTTTCCAATTCAACAATGCACTTGGTTTCCAACTTGAATAGTTTACGCTAGCCCTGGTTCCAATATTCCTTGCAAATGTTTAGAATTCAACAAACAATTCACACCCTCAAGTGCATGCAATTACTATTGTTAATCAGCCAAGATGTGTCCATAATGAAAATAATTGTTATCTAATTAAGATTACTTATTACTCACGTCATTATTCCAGAAAATAGAAACTATCTTACAGCAGCAATAGTTGCTATCGTTACTAAAATATTCTTCTATGCATGCATGAGATAAAATATCAAAAGTATAGCTGTGTGTCAGGGTTTGATATTTTCGATTTATAGGGTAAAATAAAATTGATATCTGTGACATCGTATCACAATCGAAAAAGAAAATGGTTTCAATGAAAAATATTTGTATATGTTCTAATTCAGTTGTCATTCAACGATCATTATTTCATATTACAATTTTATGTTCTCGTGAATATTTTGTGGAAACTAAAAGCAAAATTTTGAACGGCAAATCAAGGATCTTTGTATGAATAGAGTACATATCTCTTAAATTGAACACCTTCCATGGGCGTTTACGTCTGACTACAAATTGTTTTCTCATTGAAAATATTTTTTTGTTAACTTAACAAATCGAAATTATACTATAAAAAGAAATATCCTTAAGTATAAATTATCATTACAAATGTGTGGTGTTGTGTAAAATTACTTAGCATGTAAATAGTAGTCATTCGAATATAATACCACAACATTTCATCAATAATGTTTTTTGATTCTACCTACCTGAAAACTATGAAGTTAGTACCAAAGAGCAATGTAAAAATAATAATTCTATCTGAAAGTACGATATCAATCGGTTTGAATTCAAATTGCACAATCAAATGACAAATTGAGCAAACTCAAATTTTGTTTTTAAATATATTTTAATCCCATGATAGTTCGAACAAATGAATAAAGAGACGACTTCTCCTACATCTATATGCACACATTGTCCCATACTGATACCAATGTAAAAATAGATAAAACATTTTTACCTAGATGTTCTTGCAAACACGTTAGCAATTTTGTCATTTTGCGACCATATACTTCTTATCATCATAGTTAATAACATTTGTTGATGTGTTCGTTGGTAAAAAAGTTCGAGTTACTGCGTTGTTCTTTTTACTCAATACATGGTAATATACAAAAAATAACTCTTTACATCCACTTCATGCATGAATAACATCATATATGCCTTCTGCTAAAGCCGAGTACTTCTTGACTGTTGCAAGCATTAAACAAATATATTTAAAATGTTAGCGTGTACAACTTTTGCAGTAAAATAAAAGAAAATTAGTCCGAAAATACACGTTAAACATATTTTTATTGATGCCCATAAGTTCAGCCAAAATACGAACAGTTATGAGTAAGTTAGTTTTCTACGTCAACTGTTAATTCTCTTATGAAATCAGTTGTTTTTAATCATGTTTAGTTAGAATTCATTCTAATATGATATCGTTACGGTATTCTTAAAATATTGTTTGATTCATCATTAGCGCATGTTCATTATATAATATTCAGACCTTTTTTCTAACTCATAAATTCAATAATGAAAGTATCATCATCATCATCCTCCCCAACGAATTCTTGTATAATAAAACCATCAGATTATTTCTTCAAAAACTTGCTGCTCAAAAGTTATTTTTTTGCATTATGTGCAAACATATCATCATACACTTCTAGGTTCTATGAACATACACTATATTTTATCTTTTTATTTCTTGTTATAAGTATCGCAACTCACACGACTGAAACCGCCATAAAATAATCTTCACAACTATCATATTCAAAAATTGAATCATGCTTTTTATAATCGTATCATCAATGTTATTGTTTATAAATCCGCTACTCATATCAAGTTTAAATAATGGTTTAGCTTTAACTCCTCCAATGGGTTGGTCTACTTGGAATGTTTTTTATTGTGATTATACTGAAGTAGACCTCATGCAAATAGCTGATATGTTGGTTGCCACAGGTATGTTGTCTGCAGGATATAAGTATTTGAATATTGATGATTGTTGGGAAGCTTCTTCTCGTGATCCAACCAGTGGAATGTTACAGTATAATGAAACAAAATTCCCACACGGTATGGCAGCATTAGCCGATTATATTCATTCAAAAGGGTTATTATTTGGAATTTATTCGAGTTCTGGTGAATTGACATGCCAAAAATATCCTGGGTCTTGGCAACATGAATATCTTGATGCAGCATTATTCTCGAGTTGGAATGTTGACTTTTTAAAATTAGATTGTTGTTATCAAGATAATATTAAAGATCGAGCTACAGCGTTTACACGTTGGTCAGCAGCATTATCCGTACAAAATCGTTCGATTCTTTACAGTTGTGATACTGATGAATTAATATTAAATGAAAACAATTTAGAATTTCCATTTCAATGGGCTCCTGATTATTGTAATATGGCTCGAATATCTTGGGATATCTATGATAAATGGGAATCAACATTGAGTATACTAGATCGTGCAGCAAACATCTATTATGCTTCACGACCAGGCTATTGGAATGACTTAGATATTTTAACAGTTGGCTTAGGTCAACAGACACTCGAAGAATATACTTCACAATTCTCGCTATGGGCAATCATAAGTTCACCTCTGATTGCTGGAAATGATTTAAGAAAAATGACAAAAGAAATCATAAATATTTTAACGAATACCGAAGTTATTGCAATCAATCAAGATAAATTAGGTCGATCAGGTAATATGATTCGACGTGCATTCGATGGATCCTATGAAGTCTGGGCAAAGCCGCTTTATTATGAACATACACCGCAGTTTTATAATATCGATAGTGCACCACATTTTAATCCTTTGCCTTTTCATGCAGTTGTCTTATTAAATCGATTGAATACTACAGCTAATATCACATTCAACTTTGACGATTTATTCGATCATTATCTATGTCCTCATCCACCTACTCCAATCTGGACAGTTTCCATTCGAGATCTTTGGCTTCATCAAAATTTAGGAACATTTGTTGAAACTTGGACAACTACCAATGTACCAGCACATGGCGTTAGAATGATTACAGTTTTATTGACGAATACGACAATTTCTCATAATCGATATATTTCTTAATAGATACTTCTTTTTGTCTCGTGTTCTGCAGTTTGCTTTTCCACACGACTTCATTACTACGGTATGGTGGCAAATCAACGAAAAACGTTTAAGCGAAAATTTTTGAGCTAATAAAATAGCGAAAATATCCTTTGGCGAAAAATTTTTTCAGCGAAAACATATTTTGAGCGAATTGTGAAGGGTAAAACAGAGAAGTGTAAAATAGAGTAATCTTCAGTTTAACTTAACATGAAAAATAAGGGCGTTTTTAAAATTTAAACGAAATGTAATACATGAGCATCAAATGATATAAAAAACTACCGATTTAGAAATAAAATATATGAAGGGTGTGAGTGTGGGTGTGAGGTGTGAGGTGTGAGCAAATGTTGATGTTGTCCATTAGCTTTAACGAATTGATCACTTGAATTGGTATGAACATTCGCTGCACAGCTATTTGATTGACAAACCCAGTACTTAACATCTTTTGTGGACTGTTTTAGTCGATAAACATATCCTGAATAAATAAGCATTCGTTTCCCTCGATTTGAAGTGGTAAAAGAGAGTATTCTCGGGTCAAGCATCACTGGTGAGCGAAATGAACTAAATGAATGAACTATGTAACATCAATTACGGACGATTATATATATCGAATAAAAAAGAATATAATAGATTAACACGTTGAGAAGAGTGAAACCGACAAATGCGGTCATATATGCAGACACATCCGCATGATGATTCATCGTCAAACAAACAATCAAATCTTATCAAGAAAAAATTTCTCTAATTTCTACAGCCGCTCTTTTTGCTAATAAAAAACTTCGAGTTTTCGCTATTTTACTTTTCGCACTTTTTTTTCGCTATTATAATTTTCGCGCTTTTTTTTTCGCTGAAAATACCTTTCGCTATTATGATTTTCGCTCAATCGACACCATATTCATTACTACTAGTAAATTACTCTCTAATAACAATTGTTAGACGTTGAACCTTTTAAAATATGAATAAAATATAATTCTTTCTCAAAGAAAAGTTACATACTGGTAAACAAAAAAGCCAATCCAACAGATTTAATCTGCGAGTGATGTCATAATCCCGTTACACCGGGTAACGACTTTTTCTCCAGCTAAACTTACTTTATAAACATTCGGTGTATTACCCTAAAGGGTAGCAACTTAGATATCCTCGAAGAAATACAAAAAAAGAACTGAAATTTGCATAAGATGCTCAATTCGAATTTGAATATAATTGATTCATGTACTGCACAGTAACACTTCGGAGAAACTTATGGCACAGACATTGCTACAGGAAAATGCAAATAATATCATTTTATCTGAATTGTTTTTTAAATAATTTGAATTTAGACATGCATATTACTGAGGCTGAAATGTATGGCATTAATTATGATTCCTAGGAGCATTCCCTGGATTCCTGACAATGCGTAGCATTGGTAGATGGAAGGCTGTCGCTGATGGAAGCAAGCCGGACGCTATTGCATGAATATCTTAGGCTTCTAAAAGAATGCGTGAAATTGCTGAAACCATGTATCAGGTTGCTAAGATTATTCCTCGGCTTCCGATACCCTTGCCTCACGTTGCTGCCAGTACGCGTGGAGTCCTTCGTGACACACCACAGGTACCGGAACACATACCTGAGCTGCTAGATACTTCAGACAGGTTACTGCAACTGTGCCTCATCTTGTTACAGGTATCCAAACCAACTTTCACACAAATTAACCGATACATCTCGTAGCACTCAATTTCTTACAGCAAACACAGGACTGCATCTAGCAACCTCAGGAATTGTTTTAACAAACGCAGGCATCCTTGTAGCAGACTCAAAGTCATCAATGGATTCTTCGAAAATCTCGTTCTTATTTTATGTGGAATTAGGCAGCTGCTCCGAATTCCTCAACTTTAAAACAAATAGTAAAATGAAAGTGGATACCCTAGGGGTAATACCCCAAAAAGAATTTGATGGGTATTATGACATCTATGGAATTTCTGGGGTGCTTTTTCCTATTTCATTCGAAAACACACCCACTCATCTTCAATCCTTATCTACGTGTACATTAAATTAATCATACATACGTGAGTGCATAGCTTAAACGATTAATATGAAACCAATTAATATTGGACTGACTGAAATAAAATTCTGAAACTAAAAACAGTATTCCGAACTCTTATTAAATCAATTTATTCAACTTGGGCTAGTTTCTGGAAAAATCCATATATATGCACATGCAGGAGACTGCAGCACATCTTCGTAACAATATGAATGCCCGATTTGTTATTTTCGAAGTGATATTATTGGTGTGATTGCGTAGGGGAGGAACACTCGCGCTTATGCACATTTCATTTTCTTGGCTTCATGCTGCTCACTTCTTTCGCTCATTAATGTTGATCGATGTAGTAAAGAAAACAACCGCGGAGAAAAGAAAAAAAACGAATAGAAATCAACATAAAAATGGAATATGTAGAAAAACAATCATTTTTTGAAGTAAAAGTATAAAGTCAAAGAATGATAAGGTTGATTTTGTGTTAATCACTGAAAGTATACAAATAAAATTGAATATCCGCGCGCCTTTGTTCTCATAGTGATCAAATAGCACCACTTTCTGTTCAAAGTGTATTCACAATCATAACCATATCAATATGCCTATTGGTGTCTTTGATAATATTTGTCTCGTCTGATGATCGTTTTGTTTTCATCATCGATGTTTTTCTCTGTTACGTTGCCTTCAATTTCTTTTAGTGACTCTCATAATTTCATTCTCCCTGCATGATTAACGGGATGCTTATTCTTCCCTCTAAAGGTAATTATCGTCTTCCCAAAACAACTCAGTGAGTCATCAACAGTGCTGAAATTTGCTACTATTTTCGTCTACCCCTTTCTTTCGCATTCTTTTCTTCCGAGCCCTGCCGTGTGTGCGTCTGTATAAAACATCTTTGACATCTATCGAAAATAATTCTCTTTCTCTTTCTCCTTCTACTTTGTGTCATTTTGCTACAGATCTACAATCTTTATCAATTGCCACGAAAAATTATCAAGAAAATAACAATTATCTGGCAATGCAGACAATTGTATTGTCTCTTTCCCTTCTGGTTACTATTTATATAATTGTACAGCCAAGTGCATGTACATTGCCAGTGAATCTTCAAAACGTCGATCTTGTCGATATAACTTCATCATGGGAAAGATTTCCCACGATAATTCGCAAAATTAAAGACGTTGGTATGTATTATTGATCAAGCATTAAATATTCGTGATAAGAAGAGTATCAAATGTCATTTTTTCTTTGAATGCCAACACAATTTACGAAGTATTATTCACCTATTCAAAACATGAATTTTCTCTAGACACAAAAATGCGATTGCAATAATATATTGTGCACGGATATTCGATAGGAATCCGTCAGATTTTATTTTTATACAAAAACTATTATTTTGCAATCGATCGATAAAATTCAAAGAATAGTTTTTCATAGTTTATATCAACAGAGATAATCGGACGATCTATGAACCACAATGTGACTGCATCCGCTGATTTAAACTCTATGAGATTGAGGAATATCGAGTTTCGATGGTAGATCGTCAAACTGTACGACTAATGTCTATTCAACTTTTGCTATTATTATATGCTAGTGTCGGCTTGGCTCAGTAGTAATTTGACGTTTCTTTGTTTTCTTTTTGCACTGGCCTAGAACAGGAGTCATACTCTTGATAATCGATCTTATTCTTCGTATGATTACTTTTAGTCGATCGATTCCGTTGTCCAAAAGGATGGCAACGTCTAGGCGGTTCATGCTACTTCATTTCAAACATAGCATCAACATCAAATGAAGCTAATTCTACCTGTAATTTCTTGTATTTCAATCATTCAAGGTTGATGCAAATTCGTCGTCCAATCGAATTATTCTATGCAGCAGATATTCTCATTAAAAATAATTTCTCTGCATTGATGCTCAATATCCATCCACAATTACTTAACAGTTAGTCCATATCAGCAAATAAATGTCTAATTCCATGTATTTGCCTAGGAAAACATATTGACAAATTGTTGATGAATGACCAAGGTGAATGGCAGCAAATGAAAGAAAATTTTCGAGAAGTACAAATGAAAGATTATAAATCGAAAACGCAAATTCTTGATGAATTGCATGCTGCTGGTTTAAGTATATCGGGACGTTCGAAAAAAATTAAACATATTTTTCACCAAAAGAGCGGAAAAGCTCAAATTGACCATAGTGCTTCATATGAATCTGATGCTGATGAACCAATCGATGATGTACAAAATAGGACAAAGATTCCTATGCAAAACCCAATGAAGATTAACCAACAAAAATATGATGAAGATGATCTCGATTCCATTGATGCAGCCAACAATTTTGCACACATCGACGATGTTCATAGTGTTTGTGATCAAGTCATTTGGAATGATATAAAAAATGATTCTCAAGTCTATATTCTAAGAATTGTTTTGCATGCTGAGAAAGTCATCTGTTCATTTAATGCCAGTGAACCAGACATCGAATATAATCATGTCTGTGAATATGGTACGTTATTTTTGTTTGCTTTTCTCCTTCATATCACTCTGTTGGTCTTATCGAATAGTGTTCGACTTTTGCTTTGCAAAAGATATATGCGGTAAGCATGGTTCTTGTGTTAACGGTGCATCCGATTTCAAGTGTTCATGTTTATTCTTGTTCGATGGTTTGCTTTGTGAAAAAAGTAAGAGAACTGATTTTTTTCTTCTTCTTTGCAGCAAAACGAATTTAAAATCCGTTTTCTTGTGTATATATATATATGAAAGAAAAAATATTGCTTCAGTAAGAAAGTATCTTTAAGGAGCATCACAGAGTAGTGAGCGTTTGAAATTACAGAAACGACTCTCATCCAATCCTAAAAAACTCTTTCAAATGCAATCCACACTGACCCGCCGAATCTCATCATTAATAATGTACCAGCTGCTTCATTAAGGAGAGAATTATATGTATTTGTATTATTAATTAAGAAGAATATTTCAAGAATTGGAAAAGCAATGATATGCGCAAAATAGTTTTGTTGTTGACGTTGTTTCTCTCTTTAGTTTCGAGTCAAGGTCAACAAATTATAATCAGTTTGATTATTATTACTATTTTATATGGTTTATCGTCCCGACGATGTCGATGGTGTTCCTTGTTTTGTGTCAATCAATGTACTAGGTAAGCAAAAGTCTTCCTATAGTGGTTTTTTCTTTTCTCTACGTGATTGATCCATTTCTTGTAGAACAGAAGATGAGAAAAATATCACAACAGATCATGCTAATCTAGAGTCGCGCCATTTTACAAAAGCACAAGAAACCGCGGAATATATGTAAGTGAACCTCTAAGAATTCATTTTTTTTTCTAATCTTCAATGGCTTTTTTATGCGAATGGTTACAATTTTACGGATGGGAAAAGACATGAATAATAGTTAACGTATGAAATGGTGAAGACGAAATTTAAGATTTAATCATTTCTTGAAATTTTTAGAAAATTAATTCATTTTCTTTTTATTTCTGTCTCTTTTTAGTTTACCAAAAACACCGTATCGTTTTTTAAATCCAAAAAAATTTGATCTAGTTCGCCTATGTTTGATTGGCGGTTTGAATGTATTTATTCTCTCTCTACTGTTGATCCTAACGACAATACTTCATTTCATGACATTTCAAAATAAGATTTTTCATGAAAAAGATACTATTCATATAGTAACTCAATGTGATAGAATTTCGAATTATGGAGTAGAGAATTTAATATTTGCTCCAGTCGCTCTTGCATTAATCGTGATATTTTATTGGTCAATTAAACGAGAAAGGCGATGTCCTACAGCGTGCAATGGCCGACCTGGTATAATACCACCGATTCAACCATTTCACACGGTTAATCGATTCACAACAGCAGCTGTATTCAGCCTTCTTACGTTTGAAATATTGAAAATTTTCGAAGAGCTCTTCAGCTCTAGCGCACTATTACATGATGGTATAATCAGCGCCCTCTCCTTATACAGTGGCATTTTCTTTGTTCTCGGGTAAGGTCGATTTTTCTTTTTGAAGTAGATCACACAATCGCTCTCTTTTCTATTATCCAGACTACGCTACTATCCTATTTTAGTCTCCCTACATTTAAGCAATATTGCCAGTCGTTTCTTTGCTTTTTTATACATTGTTGTTCAAATTGCATATACAATTATACGTGATGGATCATGCATGCGTTTTCTCTCTCGATCACAAAATTATTCGGTTTCAGATGAATCGAAATTACGTTTGGTACGCATTATTCTCTAAGAGAAAAATTGATAATGACAATTATTCATTTTCAGGAACTCGGCAATTGGTTTATCATTTTTGGCTTACTTAAAAATATACCATATTTTGTTCTACTGTCATATATTGGTGCCGAATTAACTGTACGTTTTGCTTATGATTCAATTTATGTTCCTTACAAGAAAAAAAGAAGTATTCTGCTTTCATCAGAAACACGATGTGAAGAATGTAAATTTTCACGATATTATGTTAAAGAATTATTTCGAAGAAATAATCGATGCTATCCACCGATAACAACGGCTAACAGAGAGATTATGCATCCTACTTATCGTAGCGATCATAAAAATGCAGTTAGATTACAACGCCAAGGCGAACAATCGCGTGTGAAAAAGTTTCTGGATATAATTTATTGTTGGGATAATAGCTTTCGTTTTACGACTATGGCTATTTGTACCTATTCAGCTACTTGGGTTACTCTATATTACCTAGCATGCACATGCATTTTTTGGCATATTTCACTAACAACAGAACATGTTTCATATCTGAAAGTTTTCATTGAATCAATTTTCAAGATCGGTTAGTGTCTCTTCTTTCTTTTTCTTTTTTGTGAACATATCAAATGATTTCGGTTTTTCAAGATGGAAAAAGTTCGCTATTCGATCGTGAAATAATTTTTAGCGCAATTGTGGCCTTCATTATCTCAGCATTACAGTTATGTATCAGTACAAACAATTACAAGAGACACAAACAACAATTGTATAAAGGCATCTATGCAGAAGTTCCAATGTTAAAAAATGTCAAAGCAAATTCAATTATACTGAAATCTGTTCATTATTTTGGCTTTTTTGTTGCTTATATGGCTTTCGGTTTGGTTGTTATTTTTCATTTAATGTTTTTCATTTTCTGCTCTATTCGAATTATTGTGGAGAACACTTATGTTTTCACTTCGACATTTCGTACAGTCGTGCCTGTTCTAGTTGTTTATTTATTGATATTACTCTGCATGACATCGGTAGGCAAGGTGTCCTTGATACAAAATTCAAATGAAAACGTGAATCTGAAAAATCGGAAAATGTACGCAATTCTTTTATATGTTTATTTTTTTGTCGGTAAGTAATAACAATGGGAAATGCAAGTTTACGATGTTCATTTTAATTTATAGACTGTTTCCTTGGCGTAGTTTCCTGTGTTATTCGTTTAATAAATGCTACATTGCTCAATTTACTCTTTATCGGTCGACTAGATTACAGTTTGCTAGGACGTCCATCGGAAAAGTTCGGTAAGATATGCCAGAAATAGTTCTCATTTATTAATTCATTAGTGACTGGATTTAGATAGTGGCTTTGCTACCTACGTATCATATTTACATGTAGAAGTGACTCACACACATCCTGTGATGCTTGGTATGATGATAATCGTTTATTTCAATATATTTATTGATTTAGTTCTTTTTCTCTCATAGCCTTCTGTAATTTACTCTATGATGATATCATTAAACGTCGACCGACACATTTATATAATGGTGAGTGCTGCGTCGATTCAAGTGAACTTGATAGTGATGATAATAAGTCAGAACGAGTGCGGCCATCTAAGCGTGAGACATACACTCCGAATCGAATTTCTCGACGTGAATCCAATAGACATGCAAGCCGAAAGAATATATCTGACGATAGTTCAATAAAGATAAAATCAAGACCAAAGGGGAAGAACCAATCAGAAAGAGATTTCATTAAAAAAATGACGACCTCATCATTAACAGTGGATATAAATGACAGTGAAGATAGCGAAGTGATAAAAGAAAAACAGCCAAAACAACAATCACGAAAGATGAAAAGTAAGAATTCAGCGATACAACCCATGATGTCCGAAGTCTACTCGACAGTCAACTACTTGATCGATAGAGACAAGACAAACGACCATATGCAGTTATTACGAAGAAAGCAAGCTCGATTTCGTTGGCATCTCGCCTATACTCTTCTTAATAATTATCAAATTTTCGATCAGAGAAAAGGTCGCCCTCGTCGGCTAATACAAGCGTATGCACAAAGAAGCAATTGCCTGAGAGAAGCAGATGAATATCCTGTTGAACCAATACCATATATGGGACAACGTATCTTTAGGTCAGATCATTCATTATTTTTATGTCGATATCTATCTCGAAGTTTGTCTTTAGGAAAAATTCTTCTGCAAAATCTATATCTTCTGATCAACATTCCGCTTTCGTGCCTAGTCGTCGTCATTCAATTTCTGTTATCGAGCATTCTCCACGGAGTTCAGCCAGATCTTATATCGATATTCAGTCAAGTAATTATTACAATGCAGTTGCAAAAAAGCACATAGGAAATCAACAGTCGTTGGCTTGTCAAGCATTATCACCCAACTGCTCGGTAGCACAAGCACCACTGAATCTTGATGATGATGTTCAGAAAATTCAAAGTTGCTCTAAAAAACTCGCAAGAAAATTACACAAAAAAGGATTACACTACCATGCTAATCAATCACCACCTTCGGAGCCCACAGTGTTTACATTCCCAGCAGATACTATTATTACTGCGCAAAAGCTCACAATGACTTCAAAACAACAACAAGAGACACAGTGCAAGGCTGCTGTTAGCGACCAACGAACGAGCAAGGTTTCGTTTCAACTTCCGTACCCTTCACAACAAATATCAAGTGTTCCATCAATCATTGATACCAAGCATCAAAAAGTAAGTTTTCAGTCCAAGACCAAACGAAACCCGTTGAATGCGAGTCCGAGTACCCAGCTGCTCTATCACGAATGAAAGTGCACTCGAACCACGATCACAAGAGTGCGTCAAAGCGACTCACATAGGAATGTTTCGAGCACTACCTGCGTTTAATTATTATGCTCTACTATTTCTGTTCTCTCTTATTATCAATTTCACATGAATATTTAAACGAGAAATGATCCATTTCAAACAAAATCATCTTGAAGCATTGCTGAAAAGGTTTACGATGGTTGAGAGTAGACATTTGTTTATGAATATGAACTAGGGTGCTGTTTAGGGTTTACACATAGATGAAACATAAAAATGCAAACGCGTATACGCATGCTCACATAATTTTGAGTTGACTAAATAGGAAACCAGAACATGAAACTTTGAAAATGTTGATGTGTGCATTTTTATCTTTTGTTGACTGTTGAAACAAGCCTCACAGAAAACTATATCGTCCAATGAATCTGTAATTATTAAATGCTTTCAATAATAAGTATTGTTTCCAAAATATTTTCTTCTGAAACCCCGTACACAAACTAATCATGCAGATCGATGCATTTTCCCATGGCCATCAGTTGTACACAATAATATAATGGTTGTGTCTACCATTAGTTTCTCTCTTAGATTGTGTAAAATTGAACGATTGCAAATGACTTGGTTTGTATATGATAGTATTAAACTTGTCGGTATGATGTCTTTACATTTAAAAACTAAAATAGTAGTATATACGTATGATAGGCGCTGTCAATGCAATCCCCGTAGGATGGAAATGGGAAATACGGTGAAACTGCTTTCCGGAAGCAATCTGGGAGTGGGGATGGGTGCACATTTCCACACTGAATATTTCAGCATTCCTTTAAAATCATGTTTCATTAAAGTAGCCTCAACATATTCTCCATTAATTTATGTGTTTTAAGAGTCGTTCCATGAGGAAAAACAAACATTGTGACCGGAGATAATTTTTTTTCTTCTGATCAAATCTACTAGCTTAAAAGCTTCTATTTCTACGGTTGGTTTCATAGATGAATTCGTTTCAGATATGACACGTAGCTTTCAATGTCAGGGTTCCGTTTGTTGGGAGAGAAGCGCGGATGCATACTCTTTCCTGAAGACACTGAGTGCTAGGAATATCGGCGTATTGTTCTTCTGTGAAAAGTGGGAATGTGCTCCGATTTTCCACGAACAGTACCAGCAACTGACGCCCTTACGCAGAAAAAACAATGATTTTATATTTTACATAAATTTAATCGTTTTCATTTCTGTATGTGTCTGGTTGAACTTTTTTCAAATGAGTCTTCATGCGATTGTTTACGAAATTAGCTGTTTTTCTTACTCAGACCATCAAATCAATTCGTTTGTATTTGATCAAGTAATCATAAGATAATATTCAATGTGAATCTATAATATACTAGTTGGTTCTCCGATATTGCCATGATTTGTTCCAGATCTGGAATATTAATATAACTAGATTTCTCGCCTGACTATTAAAGTTACCTATTGAATTGATTTACAATCAATAAGCTCCCGCCCCTTCCAATAAACTCACAATCCCGCATGAGAAATCCATTTTGTAAGGCGTACTATTTTTCTGTTTGGCCCTAAATATTATCCTATGATTACGTATGTTTGCAGACAATAGAGTCTCAAGGCGAGGCTTACAACTGGCGTGAATAACATTTGATCCGTTATGTGTATAATTCATAACTACAGCGATATTTATAAATAAAAACTACTCAATTAATAAGAAGTCTTGAATAGACATTTTATAATCGTAATAATCTTTTCAAATGCAAGAAGATTTAATAAGATAAAGTGTCTGATTGAAAGCGCCACTCACCGGGCGTGTTTTAAGATGAAATAGATATTCCATCTAAAATATTCTAGTAGTATTAATTGAAATTTGACTTTTTTGGCAGTTGACATGAACTAATAATTATTGACTTCGTGAAGGAGTTACGTAGTATATCTTTTTTTAAATCCTTGTCTGCTCTTTGAACTATCGTAGTTACTATTTTTCGATTACAATACAGATAAATATATCTGTATTCAAGTTTTCGTGCTTGATTATATCGAGTTATAACCACAAGTTGGTTGTTTATAATTTTTATTTTCGGAAACAATGATGAATCCACAAAAATTAATTTTATCCCACTACACTTCACTATTTACATAAGTTGTACTCGCTTTATTTCATTGAGCTGCTATACGCCCTGTACTTCTCTCCGTTCTATTAATATTACCTTAAGGATATCGGAAAAAGTTAAATGAAATGCGTGACTCGTACAATTTGTCATAGCACATAATTGATAGATTTTCAAAAACTTGGCTGTTTTCTTTGACAATTACTTGTATATTTATATCCATAATTGTATTGCAACTATTTATTCGTGCAGTTTTGATGATGATTATTTTGATTTAAAATAAAAATTCATGAGTGAAGAGACACAACAAAAGATTGAACAATTCATCGAATTCAACTCGAGGAATAGCTTTTTTGTTTTCATTTTAGGTGTATTTTTTATAGTTTTATTATTTTATTATGCACTTGATACAACGCAAAAATGGCCACAAAAATTACAAACATAAATCACTCTTGATTTTTGTGATCATCTGTAGATTTTTCCAGATTAGTTGATATCGAACGAATAGGACGAATACGATTTGGACCATTTACACTAGCTAATTTTGTTGACTAAAACAGAAAATAAAAAAAATTACTAATGAATTGCTCTGTTATTTTTTTTGTGATCATTGAGGGAAATATGTATTGCATTCGATTTGCTGAGTGCAATAGTGAATTACAGATGTATATCTGTGAGGACAACGACAGATAACTAAAGGATGAGCACTCCTAACCGGTCTCATTGGATCGAGTCCAATCGTGGAATAAACGTACGTTTCTCGCGAAGTAATAACACCGGATCGCATCTTATCGAATAATCGATTCAGTTTTCGATTTAAATTTTCAATTTCATTTTTTCTTGGATCGACTTCGTGTTGATCCATATTTAATAAATGTTTATGTTTAATTATTCGTCGTTCAATTAATTGTACTATATCAAAACGACGAATTTGTCCAAGTCCATGAATAAGATCATCAACTTTAGCGCGTGTGTGAAAACGTCGCCATTTATTTAATGCTTCCATGGCTTGATCCTAGACAAACTACAGATAAGAAATAAGTATCAATTGATATTTACTTGAAAAACATCTCCACGTTGATATTTTTCATCAACATGTTGTATATCTTTGGACAATTCTTCTTGACCACGTGTTGGATAAAATGGCAATTGCCAATAGAGTCGATTCCAATCACGGCCAATATACTTTGATATGAGACGGAATGCTTTGGAAAGTTCGTCTGAAAAAAATATATATATATAGATGGAAGAACACTTTTTTATCATGGAAAGTCTGATACAGTTTCAATATTGTAAATAAAATATTGAAGAAGGCAGTCGCCCTGTTTTTTGTCAAATGTTTTAAAGTAGAGATAAGTTTTATTTGGAAAGAAATCAGATCAATTCGAAACTATGTAAGTTTTATCTGGTTGATACATTGAACTGCTATTGGGGCTTGAATTCAAGAAAGATAAAATGACTGGAAATGTTTACTAGTTATCGCCAAAAAAAGGAGCTACCGTAGATTCAAAGTCATCATATTCTTCAGGTTTCTAGAAGTCAAGAATATCATCATTGAATGTAAATGATGTTCCTCATGTACGCCACTGAGTACAATATCCGATCTAAAATACTGTCTACTGATTTCATCTGAACAAATTATTCTTGACTATTATTTTGGATAATTCAACTAGAACATCTACGTAGAGTTTATAGTAGCTTCGATCTAAATACAATTCTGCTATGCATGATATCGTTTTTAAATTTATCAAAAAAAAACCTTAGATATTTCACTAGAATTGTCGTACCAACCCAGATCATTACATATTGACAATGTGTGGGCGAAAAAGTAGGTCACCACTTTCTAGCTGTAGAAGCCACTCTGTTCTACTATGTCAATTGAAAATGCTAATGCTAGCTGATTGTATATATTTTTTCAAACATGTAAATAGATCTTCCAGCTAAACGACTCCCGACAATCGAAAAGCTTCTGAAATTGTTTTACTTTGCATCTTACCTTCTTCATTTTCTCCACTATGTTTACTATGAACTGGTAAATCGTAGAAGATTTTTTGTGGTAAATCATTTGTTTTTCGGCATTTATAAATATCGCGCATAATATCACGGCAACGTTGTATGCGATTAAAATAATTTTCTTTCAGAATTTTATCTTCTAATACGACTTGTATTTCTTTATCGAGTTTCTTACTTTCAATGCGCATTTCAATTAATTCATCTTTACGCTTTTGAAAAAGATTTATACGTGCTTGAAAAGCTTCAACTTGAGATTTTAATTTCGGTAATTCTCTTGAAAGTTGTTTTATGTCTTGTTGAAAACGTCCAACTGTTAAATTATGTCCAATGCTATCTTGTTCGTCGTGAGATTGTTTCAATAATTTCTGAACTTGTTCTTCATATACTTCGTGCGTTAAACGTTTTGAAATATATTCACGTTCTTTTATATTGAGACGCGTTTCAAATTCGTCATATTTTTTTTCATTGATCTCATTTTCATTTTCCAGCTTCTTTAATTGAGAACGATATGATTCAGCCTTAGAATCAAAAAAGAATGTATAAACTTCTTTTCATAGATTCAGTTTTCTACAATAAATTCAATACCCGATGTTCAACTTGACTCAATTGAGATTTATTTATTTCGAAAGCTTTTTTTGCTTCAACATATTTTTCTTCAAGTAATTTAAGTGATCTAAACGAAATTTTCTTTTGCTTTTAACTTCTTTACAAATTGAAAACATACGTTTGAATAAAATCATTGTATTTTGCATCTTCATCTAACCATGTGCGAAGAGAATCTAAAGTTCGTCGTGCTTCATAGTAACATTCAGGTAACGCAAATAAATATGGCAGTAATGTGCAATCAGTGCGACTTGCTAATTCTTGAGATTCTTTTGACAATGTTGAAAGTGCAATGCCTTTCGTATCTTCGACGCGTTGTGGCATTTCACGTAAAATTTTCAAAGATTTATTCACATCAAAGATATGTAACCAACGAGATTTTTCATAGGTGTATGCTGTTTCAAGATAGTCATCCTATGCAGCAATTATCGAACAAATACTAGTTTTATTTTTACTTATCTATTACTTTCTAGAACAAGTTCAATGAGTCGAAACTATTGTTTTTTTCTCCATAGTCAAACGAATAAGAGATATCAAATCTTATGATTTACGTTTTAATTGATCACACTGTCTCGTTCATAGGAAATCCTAAGAATTTACTATTGGACACTGAGGCATATTTTAGTTGGATATCTTTTTGAATACCTACACCATATCCTCTTAGTCTTGGACTCTGTATATTGACAAATATCTATCTAGTTTCTATAACATTTTTGTGAAATTTTAGTAGATTGAACATTAGATATTATTTTACACTGAAATGCTCATAACCATTCAGATTGAAAAAATTAGATATAGCAGATTTCACTAATAAGGATTTATCTATTAAAATTTCCATGTGAGAAAAGAATCTGAAATTCTTGCTCTATATTTCAGCATTTTTTGAAAATTGAAAATATTCAATACAATCAAAGAAAAATCAATATATACATATTTTGTTAGCTATCAGATAGTAAATGATTTTGAATTTATTTTCTTATATTTCTACTACTACTAATAATAATAATAATAAACATTAGACTAGCCACGAAATCAAAAATATAGACTTACAGGTAGTTTTTCTTTTCTCTTATTTTGAATAATATCTTGAATATGATCAATTTCATAAAACGAAAGAAAATATTGTTCCATTAAATTCATTGAATCAGCTATTTTATTTATTAACGTTGGGATGGTTGCATAAAGTTGTTCTGTTGTTTTATCCAAAACTCTTTTCATTAAAGCTAAACCTTCATCGGTTACAGGTCCATATAATCCACCAATACTGGCTTCGCTAAGTAATTCTCGGATTGCTTTGCCGTTACGAATATCATGCAGTAAGCGCGCTTCACGCAATTGATTTAATGGCTGTGACCATGCCTGAAGTGCAATGACAGATAATGGCCGCTTTGTAGACTGAATTATTGATGTTACTGATCCTTGATAATAATCAGCTTCGGCATGATCGATAAACGTGGAGCACTCATCAAGAGCTTGTTCAACAAATCTATAAATTTGCTCATATGATGTTGGCTCAATGGTTTTTGACCATGGTTTTGGTGGATGCATAGTATCAGTAATGTTTGTACCTCAATCGAAATTTAAGAAAAAAACAGTCACATGAAAAGCCTTTTTTGTTTCAGTTAGTTTTATATAGCAATGTTGCTATAGCTGTAAAAAGAAATGCTTCTCCAATGTATTTTTTTTATAAATAGGATTAAGTTTAGAATCGTGTTTGACAACGCATCAGTTAGAAAAAAATTCAAATAATTGTTATTGGTGTTTCGAACAAAACTGCTCTTTCTTCCTGCGTCAATTATAATGAAGAGTCATCCAACGTAACAATAGAAAAGTGGTCGCCATTTTAATTGTGACTTTTTCCTTCTACTTCTTTTCTTCACTATAGAACACTCAAGGCTTTTCAGTCAATAAAAAAAATGAGAATATACATTGATACATATTGTCTACGAATAAATACGATCATTCAAGTTATTATTGAGAAAAAATGATTTTCCTAATATATAGAAGTCAGGAAACTCGTGAGAAAATTGAATTATGAGAGGAAAAAATGATTGTAGGAGTTCAAAACTTTAATTTAACTGTACACGATCTTTCACGTGACAAAGTCAACAATAGGTTTAAGTTAGATTTGTACTTCGATAAATACTTTCATTTAAGGAAAACTCATTTAAAGCAATTCCCACAGTGAGCTTACAGTATGTTTCTTTGACAAAGAAAAATGTTGTTTTCTTAAAGTTCAGTATCATGAATCGATCAAACTTTTTACCTGCAATTGACTATTCGTTGTGTATATTTACAGCAAAATTAAAACACATAGGAAAGCTTTTTATTTTTTTCAAAAATGTACGACAGACTATTTTTGTTTTCATGAATAGTATGTAAACTGGAAATATGGCTTGCTTAAAAAGCTAGTACTAGAATGATTTGACATAGCAAATTTGTCAAGAAGAAATTTTTTATTTTAAAATTTACATATTTTCTTACAGTTTAACTATACTTTTAAATATTTCTCTAATTTATATAGTACACTGAGCTTCACGCTCACTCACATATTGTAGCTTTCGATAACTACGTTTTGATGAATAAAAACATTCATTGTTTCCGAATTTTTCAAATCACATACAGGATATGATCGATTTGCAAACCATAGCGAAGAGCTTGGAGTCATTTTCAAACATAAATAAAAAATGAATTCTTTTGTGGTTGAATTTCCTATTGAAATTACAATAAATAGTACTAATGCATTAATGAATTTAGTTCTTGTTCGTATTTCAGAAAAGTAATGTTTCATTTATTTTTCGTTATACGTAAGACAAGAAGAAAAAAAGGAAAGATCATTTATCCAGAACTAATATAAAACAAAAGAAATTGTTAATTACAAATGCGAATGTTCATTTGAAAAAGAAAACAAGAACCTATATTTAATGTCTATAGAATACGTGCTCTGCTATACGCTGGTGTTGTATGTTTAAAAAATCCCATTTCGTTGAGAACAATTTTAAGTAAAAATAAATGAAAAACAAGAATCAAGAATCCTAAAACGATCCAAAATATAATTGGTAAACCACCAAGTTTATGACCATGTCGATGTAAAGCCAGAACATCGTGTGCATGAGGAGGAGCTATATAAAAATAAATAGAAGCCGTGAAACTGTGACATTAGAAGAAGAAAAAACTTCACATACCTATTTCAATTTCTTTTACATGTAAGGTATCTTTTAGTTGTGTCATATAATCAAAATCTTCAGTAACATAAAGGATTGCAGTCGAGGGACTAGTCATTTTAACGGGAAATCGAATAGGTTTTTTACTAAAGAGAACAAATAAATATTTCATCGCTAAAATTTCTTCTCAAACAAACCTAAGTTTAGTTGGCGTATCTAAACAACCAGCATCACATGCATATGCTTGGCCATTTTCATTATCAATTGAAACATCCATAATAGCTCGATTGTCATGTCCAACTGTAATACTTATATTTAACAAAAACTGTTTACCAAAATGTATGGAACGAAAAAACATATCACGATGAAGTTCTTTAGGATCTAAATTCATTTCAAGATGATGATTATGAAAGCGTGCACCACCAATGGAAAGTAGCATCGATTGAAGAACACCATTAACACCTATGATAGAATAATGTTGAATTAATTGCTAAAAATATTTGCTAACAACATACCACTACGCATTAAAGAAGAGCAACCTTTTTTCAACAGAGTTGTACGCCAGAGGTAAGTTAGTTGATAAACAGCTAAATCATCTCCTGGTGATCGCCATAATCGATCGCCGACCCTACAAAATAAATAAATAATATTTTGGCATTTTTCGTTTTCTTATAAGAATATTTAAATGTTTGCTAGTTGCATGTCATTCTACGATCATTCGCATATATATGACGTCAATCATAACTCTAATGATTGTCCAAAAATTAATTTTAGATATCACATCTTATTGAAAAACGATTATCAAATTTGATACCACGGTGGCGATTAAACTGCTCGAGAATAGTTATATTGTATCTCTTTTGACAATACGAAAGTTTATCAGTCTTTTTTTATCTTCGACTAATTGGTAGTCGCAATACAAGATCATATAAAACTCTAAAGATTACTATGCTGAAATTACTGATTCTATAAACATGATAATCTTTGTCATTGATTCATTGAACTGCTTAAAATCATACAAAATCGTAAATGTCTCTCAAGATTTGAAGCCTTAAAAAAATTCGATGCATTTCTTTATATCAAATTGTAATTCAAATGACTTATATACACGTACTAAGTATATACTATGTTCACTTCTGACGAAAGTTCTTGTCCTGAAATTCTATCAGATAGAAATGTTTCCTTGTCGAGATTTAAAATCAACTTACAACGTTGAATGACTTTCATAACATCGATCAATTTGAAATAGTGTTTGATTGAGTTCCATGCGCTGCGTATCCGATACTTGTAAATCATAAAGTGGTGAAGGCGTCGAACATAAAACATAATAAATAGTTCGATTTATAACATCACCATTCATAACTGATGGTGCTAATGAACGACTTATTGAAAAGCCACTTTGCCATATTGATGACCACGTGTCTATGTGTTCTTTTAATAGATTCTCAAATGATATTGCTAGAGCTTCGGATAGATCATCTTTTGCCTGTTTTTGTAATTTACTTTCCCAATCTTTTACATAGGTACCATTGAGTAATGAATCAACATGAATCAATGAAGAATATTTAATCACAGTTAGGATTGTTTCCTTACTTTGACTAAAAATAAAAACACATAAAATGAGGCAAGAATTAAAAATTAATTAATTTCCAACCTACCCATTAGGTTTAATATGAATATTGGAAGTTATTTTATTAGTTATGATAACAACAATAATAGATTTTCGTTCTTGAGTAAACAATTGATATGTTGTCATGAGAAATTTATCTTTTGACGAATCAAATTCAATTTCTTTTCTATCCAGCTGTTTTACATCTTGTCTTGATAATTGTGTTTTTTGTAGCAAATCAAAATCTAGCGTTTCATCACTTGGATTTGTAATATTTATCTCCTGAACAATTAATGATGAACGATGTCGATGCGCATATAACATATGTGTTACATAAGCCGAACGATCGTTATTTATTCTAAAACATTGAATACGCTTTACGAGACCGTGCCTCATTTGAATTATATTTGCATTGGAGTCTTCCCATATTTTTGATGAAGTTCGAATAACTGGAGAGTAGCCACTCGAAATAAAAGGAACACTAGGATCAGGTATTAGATGAATTTGAGATTGAGTTGAAAGAGATAAACCAATATAGCCATTGCCTAAAATAGAATAAATCTTTTTGTTACGTTGCCAAGTTCACTAATAGTGATGAATTAAAAAAGCAGTGACTTTGAAAACCTGACAATATTCATTAATTGTAAAATAGAACGAAATTCGCAGATTTTAATTCAAACTGCATCAATAAAATATCATCCTAGTATGAAAAATAGTAGTAACACACCGGTCGTTTCATACTCAAGCTGCAAGAACATATTCTAACGTGTAGTTAGTAATGATTCTTTTTTTCAAAAATATATAGAAGTCCTATCATGAGACGAATACTTTGAATAAGAACGTATTTACATTTTCAACAATGTTTACGATCGATAATAATAATCATAGTACTCACCAACAAATGGTAGACTCACGATTTCTCCGTACTGAATCGGTTCATGATTAATAATAGCATTCATGTCTGCTACATCACTGGCATATTGTTCTAATCTGGCTTGAAGACACAGATCATAGTGAGCTATAATAAATAAAGAGAAATTACTTTCAATCGTTTATTATTAAGATATTTACTGTTTGTATAGTTTAGTCGATGAGGCATCCATTTCGATATACCATATAGAATAGTTGTAGCTCCAATAATGAATAGAACAAAGCTTCGCCGAGATCTAAAATACAAAATAATAAGTAAATAATGATATTTATTTTCATGGTAAAGAAATTTATATAATCAATCGACTTACTTATATTTTGCAAATCGATCAGTTAGTTGTTGTGCAATCAAACGTAAATTTAATAGTATCAAATCTGCCATTGACTGTGATACCAAAGCACATGTTCTTTTTTTTAGAATGAGAACGATTGAAATCTATCAAGGTAAACATTAGTGAAAGAAGGTTATGAAATATATACAGTTGACTCATCTACCTTATCAAACACCGATATGAAACGTCATGATGATGATCAAAAACTTTTCATACATCCTAAATTACTTGAAATAAATAAATAAATAAAAATTGATTTGCGTAATTATAATTCACTTTAAATATCGAAATTCATAACGAATCAAATAATCCGCTCCTAAAAAAATCGATGTTTTTTCAATTGGTTATGAATGTAACCACTATGCATTGCCAATGAGTGACATCTGATTATTTATTGTTGTAAATTTATTTTCTTGAATTGAATGATTTTCTGCAATGTTTAATTAATTACTTGGCTCTGATATTCAATTTTCCAATAAATATTGAGGTATTAACAAGAACGTAGTGAGGTCTAAAATATACTACAACATAGCCATACAGCTTAGATTCATTGTCATTCTCGTATCGGTTATTCGTTTCATTCACTTCGATCGTTACTTTTCAGTGTAGAAATCTATCGTAGGTCGCAGAATGGACTTTAATAAACTTAACATCAGTAGTTATCTACCTACAATGCCATATGTAGTACGAGAATTATTTGATAAAGCGACAAATATTGTGATGAATTATACAGAAACTGAAACAAAAGTGGTCGAGGCAACAAATGATGAATCTTGGGGACCAGCAGGAAAATTATTACAAGAACTTTCTCAATTAACGTTTTCGAATGAACATTATAATGAAGTAAAGTATTTATTTTTGAAAAATTTTATATGCTATTTTCTTTTGTTTATTTTAGTTAATCGGTATGCTCTGGAAACGATGTTTCACTCAAGATAAACGATGTTGGAGACGAACATATAAGGTTTGTTTTGTATACACGCTTTTAGTCGCTTATCACTGATGCTGTGTGAACTTGAATATTAATCATGCACTGTTAAAATTTGGTCCAATCATATTGCTGCATGGGTGGATAGTAGTCTATTAAGGACCCCCCCCCCTCTACTAGTTGGTGTCGATGGACGTCTGCTTCATGTCCGCTATAGGCCGTGCATGGTTGCAAATGAGAGTGAGTTCAATGGCCTTGAAATTTTTGAATTTAGAGTTTATTATGAAATGAGAATATTTCGCCATTTTTCTTGATAATTTGCGTATAAGTAAATCAAGCGTGAATAATAAAATCTTCTGAGCGCTCGTGCCTATGACTGATTGATTGAATGGTACTGATTCTCGGTCTCAAACACGATGTAAAGGGAAGCCTAGATATCTGAATTTTGCTTTATCGATGAGTTCTTCTATTCTTCATATGCCAAAACTTAAGAAAATAAATATTCTCTAGGAAACGAAGTGCAATCATAGAGTTGCCAGTAAGGTTCTAATACTTCGATACATAGTGTAAATTATTCGACTTTATTGAAGCTCGAATGATTCTCATCCAAGTTTTATCAACCATAAAATCAAATGAGAGGTTTCAGTATTTTAATTAATAAATCCGCTTCTATGAAAATCGAGAGCTCAGTAGTCTGTTTTAAATTCGCGGCTATTCAACCATGCCTTGCTCGGGTACCACAGCGTCAAAGTCCAAAGCTATATATGTTTATATCGGTAGACTGTGAAGCTAACATGAGACAAAAACATCGAAACGAAATGTAATTTAATATTACAGTCAAATATGATAAAAACAAATAGTTCTTATCAAAAGTTTCGTTTTTACGAGGTGATCGTATAGATAAGCTCTTTCGAGCTTTGCAACTGATTTTATTCAGTAGCATTTGACTGAACCTGGCATTTATTTCTGTTGATTTGATAGAATACTAATTGAGAATATTCATGTTCTACAATCGAGTAATTTATTTTTTCTTCTTCTTTTTTCAGTCTCTTCTCGTATTATCATATTTGATAAAAAATGGTAGTGAAAGAGTGATTCGATCAGCTCGTGAACATCTATATGATCTGAAAAGTCTAGATGATTTCTCTTATCATGATGAAAATGGCAAAGATCAAGGAATAAACAGTAAAGAATTGAAATTTTAATTTGAACTTATAAAAAACTGAATATATATTTTTGTTTCAGTACGACATAAAGCTAAAGAATTAGTTGAATTTATTCAAGATGACGATCGAGTACGAGATGAACGTAAAAAAGCCAAAGCTAATCGGGAAAAATATGTTGGCGTGAGTCATGAAGCATCGTCCTTTCGACATGGTAAAAATAGTTTTTTGTTTCTCAAGTTTTTTATTTTATTATTAATCGTTTAACAAATTCAGATGATCGGTGGGATGATAAGGATGAATCGAAAACAAAAGAATTCGATGGACGCTGGAAATCAAAAACTGTTGACGATTTTTCGAAAGTGAAAGACTTCGCATCTGAAGATTATTCACTAGAAAAAAGGTAAATTTATTAAAATTTGCGATGATGATTATTTTCATGCGCGTCATCTGAATGTTAACTGATGATTGCATTTCTATCCATTCATTCTAATCTGAGCAAATTTTAACAAGTTTTCAGAATGTTTTCAGTTAATTTTTCTCTCTTTAGTAGTGGCATCGATCAAAATATGAAATCAACGAAGAAAAAAGATCAAAATAAAATGCAGGTATATTCAAGAAACTAATAGATAGGTTTTTCCTTGTTATGGCACATCTTGAAAACATTAAAGATTATTCAATGTTCTTGGTGTTATGAATTTGCCTAAAGAAACTGTTTTGCTCTTCAACCCTACGTAGACGTAACAAAATGCGTTTGACGTTTCTTTATTTGATCATACAAACTAATTATTTTCTTTTCATGTTTAGAGTAGCAAAACAAGTTCATCAATAGAAACTCTAGTAAGTGATTTTGTTTCATTCATTCATTCATTCATCCATCACGATGGAGATTAAAGTGATAATCTTATTCAAAATATGATTGTATACTTAAATCAAACTATCGAAAAATGAAACCTAAATCAGATGTAGACAGCAGTTTAACAGCAATAATATTGTTCTAATTGTTTGCACAAGCTGATACAAACTTTCTGATTCTATCAGTAGTTGAACTAGGAATATATAGCTTCTTGATCTTCCAGAAATGTAGTCATAGTTTATTGTTAAGAAAGCGCGGCAATGTACAAGTTAATGATGTAGAACTCGTTAGGAAAATAAATTTCTGTCTCGAAAGAAAGAAATGACTGACTCTAGTATCATTAGGAGTCGTTTTTGTAAAAATTTAAAAAATCTAGATAAAATGTTAATGAAGCTAAAATTCGTTTCTCTGGTTAAATTTAGTCTTCGACTCAAAATAAAAAGCCATCATCAACAATTAAAGTACCAGAAGTTGATCTATTAGGTGAAGATATCGATTTCACACCCTATGTCCAAGCTTCACAAGACGAAGAATTTGGTCAATTTCAAGAAGCAAAATCTCCAAGTCCTTCGTATGTGTTCTCTTTTATTTCATACTAAAACTAAAATTCGCTTTAATTATCTAGCGTTCAATCGACACTTTGGCCAATTTCAACAGAATCCTCCTCTTCATCAACAGCATTCGATCCGTTTGCATCATTTGAATCATCACCGAATCTCTTTCAGCCAACTTTATTTCCATCTAATCAACAATTATCTACAAATGCATCCATGTTTTCACAACAATCTGCTACACAGCCAACAACACAAACAAAGTCAAATGTAAGACAAATAAAAATTTCTATAGGCTACATTCACCCCCAATCGAACGTCTCTGAAAATTCTTCCCTTTTGGTACATGACTTAGGAACTGATCTATTTGAATTAATTGTGTTTGTACTCGTTCGAATAGCATCGAACCGTTTACGATAACAAAGTTAACGTTTAACTGAATAATTGATTTTATTTTTTTAGACGACTTGGTCATTAGTCGAAGGAAAATTAGATATATCATTAAATAATTTAATTCCACATACTCGTGGTGATCAACAGAAAAAAAATTTAACACTCAATCAATTAACTAGTCCGACAAAATCAACTAACCTTGATTTTACCTCATTCAATACGAATACTCAATCAATATTTTCTAGTAAAAAATAACAAAATTTGATCATTTTATTTTATTAATTTTTTTGCTTTTGTTCTTTCAATCAATGATTCGAGAATTCATGATTGAATAATATGAGAATATATGTTGTACATAGTTTAGATATTTATTTTCAATATTTCACATTGATTGACTTATTTTACATTTCGATCTGCAATTTTATTTTTCGTCTTCTGATGTGCATAAGTTCAAAATACAGTGCAATTTGTTGTATTCATTTATTTGTATGCGTGGATTTTAATGTAATATTTATTAATTATTAAATAGAAATTTTTTGTTTTGTATTGAAAAAATATATGAATGGAATAGAAAGTAATGATGCTTTATAAAATCAATAAAGACGAAAATAGCGATCGGTTAAAATCATATCATCGACAAATCTAAAACAAAAACGAGATAGAATTCATCATAGATGATGACAATGAAAAGTGCTATACTTGGTCATTTCAGACTGCGCGTGAACGTGACGTTTTTCATGAGTCCATGGTTCGTTGACCTTTAACGGGCTGTCTTTTGTCCACCAACCAACTGAAAACAAAATAATGAAACTATTTAAATTCTAATTATTACTGTTTTGAGCTGTTGTCAATGGTTGTCGTGTAATATGGTTGTGATCTTGATCTCCACGAACATGCATTGTACGTAATGTATGGTAATTTCTGAATATCGGGAGAAAAAAAAACATAATAGATTTTTTTTCTAACTACCGAAAAAAAGTTTTTTTTTACATATTCGATATAGCTGGCGATGACCATTCACGTGATTGTATGTTACCAGTGAGTTCACGAGCTAATTGTTTTTCAACTGGACTTCTTGGTTCACGTCCTGTTGGAACTTCGCGTAATCGAGTTGAATTACCATTTTTGTTAATTGGCTCCATATGTTTCATAGCTTGAAATTGGTTTTCATGACCCATCAATGTCAAATGAAAAAATGACATTTTTCTATCTGAAATATAGAATTCAATGATGAAAATAAAGCAAGCAAATGTATCATTAGTAACTTGGAAACAAATTTTCGACACATGGATGAACGAATATGAAATATGTATTTTACAAAAGCAAAGTTAAGTTGAATTACAATTGAAAATTTCGAAAAAACAAATACTAACTTGAAATCGGTACATCAAGACGAGTGTTTTTGGTACTAGAAAGTTTCATTTCAACGTCATGTTTTAATATCTATATACTGTTAACTATATAAGGAAACCCTGTTCGATCTATCGTAATTGTCATGTAAGAAAAGACATGAATTCAATTGATGGAATCGTCTATTTCATACAGATTCTATTGTTGGTTTAAAATTACACATATACTTACTTTGATCAATATGTAGAATCACCTGTAACTAAATAATGAATACCATTGCGAAAGGTTTCATTTGTAATTGTGCTTGTTAATTATTCAAACAGAGTCGACAAAGCAATAGCAAGTTTCAATCGACATGTAAAAAAACAAGTAAAATAAACATATAAAAATTACGTTGCTACGAGTTTCTTTTATTTTACATGAATTTCTCTCGTTTTGTTCTCTTTGTTGGCTACTACATATTGAGAAATGAAATGAAATGAAAGAACAAATGTCGATTATGTCTCTATCATTCCCCGGTCAAGGGCAAGATCTCAAATAATGAAAGTGAAATATTAGGTGACCTACAACCAGTACTTGAATTTTCTCTTCTTTCCATGTGATAGTTGAAATTCAGTGTTCAGTTCATTGAATAGAGAATTGATTGCTTTACAAAACATGTTTTTCTTATTTGGTAAAATATTACCAAAGGAGAACAAACATCTAATCAATCATCTATATACGTTCTTGATTTCAAAACGTGTTTATTCAAAAATATTTTTTCGAAGTTCCTGAAGAGAAAATCTTTTATAGACTATTAAAATATAATTTAATCTTGCAGGCAAACGTTTAAATGTTGATATTCTGCTTTTGACTTGAAACCAAAGAGAGAAAATAATTTTATTGTAAAAAGAAATCTCAACAGACTTTATCTTCTTTCAAGCAATAAAACAGCAGTCATTTCTATTTATGATGATCTATTCGATAATGCGTAAAAATTAAATCTATTTTCCATAGTTAAATTAATGATTAAATATATATATATACATTTATTTTAAAATAGATTGTATACATACAAAAAAAACTATAGACTAACATCTATGCAAATGCGTAGATAATTAAAATGTATTACAATAGAAAACAACAATGAAAAAAACAATATTTCGTATATAAATGTTATTACATGCAACGAATTGTATCTGAACGATATAAATAATTATATAATGACATGACTAGATATATGAGATTTAAGACACCGATTATTCATCCCTAAATGACTTGTATTATCTGGTGAAAATTAAGGTATTGAAAGTGGGCTGACCGCAACATCAGTTTCTTCCCTGTCGCCGTGGACTAACAGGAACAAAGAGAAAACAATATTTAAAAACAAATGGAAACTATATTAATGAATCATTTCATACGTGATTTCCGTTCTTTACTCGTCGTACCAAGATTATTGTCTGTAATTCCACAGCAAAAATAGCAAATTAAAATTGACGATACAGTAAGTGTAATGATTGTTAGTAGAACAAATGAAAGAATCAGTTTTGCGCGAAATGATAATGGTTCATGATGATGACCTTAAGGATAGTTAATCGAATATTTCATTAAAATAATTCATCTACATACTATATTCACAATAGGCTTCATCAACATTGTTCGGACAATTTTTATATCGATCACAAACAAGACTTCGATCAATACAATACTTATCCGAAAAGCAATCAAAACCGCATTTTGAATACATTCCTAGAAAAATAAATTTTGTTTTTGTACAAAAACAGAAGTCAAGTAAAAGAATTCTCTCGGATAATTATACTTGTTTTAATTTTTAACGGTGTAACAACCATTGAAAATTTTGATAACGGTAATTTTTTTGATCGATGATATTCTATTGTTAACAATTCCGTATCAAAAAAATATTCGGTTCCATTTTTTGTATGACAATCGATAAGTGTCTAAATAAGATTTGATTGAAAGAGACGTATGATTTCAAACTATTTACCGTTTCACCGGATTCACTGGTCACTGTTACATTTTCTGTTGAACATAATGGTTGAGCGAGTAGATGAACATAAAATCTTGTTGACAAAGGAAGATCAGGCATTAATGATCCATTTGGAAAAGTTGGTAGACAACAACTTTGTATATTTAAAACACATTTACCAATCCATGGTGTTCTAGAGAGAGAGAAGAATAGCCGACAAGAATGAAATTAAAAATTAAAGTCTTAGAAACAAACCCAGCATAACGAACTATTCCTGCGTCGGGTGTAAATTTACTTTTTGGATTACAATATGGCCCATACGTATTTTCAAGATTGACTGAAATAAAAAGAATATTTTTAGAATGCAATCTTTCAGTCAAAAATATTATCTTACAGTATGTTACTTTAGCTAATGAAGATGAACAAAACAATAGAAGTAAAAGTTTTTTTAGTAACAGCATCTGAAAAAAATAAGTTAAAGCAACCCCCATTTTCTACGTAACGACATTAATTTTATTGAAAACACAAACAATTATTCTTGAATTAATCACAACATTTAACATATAATAAATGCTTTTAGCAATTTAACTTAACGATAGCGGTGCCCAAAATCATGGATATTCGTTGGAGAAACAAAAAGATAAAATTTCAGAGGTAATATCCCCGATTTGGATAGCCTATGAATTTTACCAATAATTAACAGAAAACCATCATAAGTCTTACGAAAAATTAAAAATTCTATCGGTTACATCTTGATGTTTACTGTTAGTATCACATATTTCCCAAAGATATCCGATGGGTTCTAGGCACTCAAATCATCAAGGTGGATTTTCAAGGATGAGAAAAAAGCGCTGCAACACAATCTGACACTATAAACAAGCAAAGATCTTTTCTTTTTATAACTGACTAGATTTATGCCAAACTGGGATACATTGGTTTGGTTGAATCGATTATTAATGGTCCAGCTTCAGTGCGGTTTTTAGATGAAATTTCCACAGTAGTCGTTGGTGTTGTAAGTTCCTTCATTAAGACAGCATCCTCACCAGTTGTAGCAATGTTATTTTCTAAAAATTTGTCTATTTAATAAATAACATAAATCCTGCGTGATCAACATACTTTCAGTAGATTTATTTCCTTTTCTTGCACGAACACGTCGAACTATGCCATTGAATACCGATCGAAAACAACAGCAAATACAAGCTTTAATGAATGAAATAATTTTAAAAAAGATTTTTTTTTCTTGAGAAACTTACCAATTGATAAAATACAAAGAAGAAATAAAAATACCAAAAGCATAAGAACTAATATAAATATCGGTACACCACTTGGAGGTGCAGCTTAATAAACAAAAATCTTATTATTGTAAATATAAAAATCAATACATACGATGGCAATCACGTTCATCATCTCCGCTGTCACATTCAGATCGTCCATTGCATTTTAATTTTTTATCAATACATGAATTAGGATAATCATCTGGACATTGAAACAGTATGTCATCATCAATACATGGTTCTAACAGCAAGATAAAATTTTCTATTTTACAAATCAACTCTTTAGAAAAAAAACCATTCTCACCTTTAGCCAATGCAACCACTTGTACAAATGTTGTCTTTTTTATTTCAGGTATTTGTATATTTCTTCTAAACGTTAAGCTGAGTGCACTACATGCCATTTCAATTTTATTTTGACTTGTATGGCATGTAAATTGTATTGGTGATGGCTTCGTCTATATATAGATATAGAATAGAATCAACCAAAAGAAAACTATTCGTGCGTTATTCAAACATAAAGTATAATATAGTTATTTATATTTACTACACTGATATCTTCTGTTTTTTTTATAGCGTAACACTACTAATCTCTATATGATAGATGACAAGAGTGATTTATCTGCACTGTATGGTTGCCATCTGTAGTCTGTCAAAATTTGATGATTTCACCAAGACGCCACTTATCATCTGCATAGATTCCGATCAGTGATTCTTTTTAGATCGTATCTTACGGGACAATAAATAAAAAATATGTTTACTTGATCAGTTAAAGTAGCATTAGGTAGACAATCTACAGTAAGTGTCGATGAGCAATCCATTTCTTGCGAAAGAAACAAACCAAATCCATTTTGCATATCTGATAACCATGGATTGTATATATGTACTGAACAATCATCTTTTCCATAAGCGACTTTGGATGAAAATTTTACTAGAATAGCATGACGTCTATGAATGGTAGTATTCTTTTCATGTGACCAGCAATCATCATCTTCTTCAATTCGAACTAAAAAGTTTACAAACAAAAAAACAATGAACCTATTGAATTTTGTACCAAATAAGATTTTACTGTCGTGAAGTGGCGTAGATAAAATAGCCGGTATAAAAACGATAAAAAAAATAAATTTCATATTTTTATCTAAAAAATACAAAAAGAAAAGTTATTTTTTATTTTCACGAACGCACATACGCACACACAGAGCGAGAGAGAGAAAACAATCCATTTGAAAAATAATACATGAACTCAATAACCAAGAGCAGAAAAGCTAAGTAAAATTATCAATGTATAGGAATCTATACTCACTAGATATATATCAAGATGAAACATAAAAATGAAATAATATTTTTGATTTTAATCGCTTACAGAAAATAAAGAATAATGAGAACAATGAAATATTTTATATAAATACAATAATAGCATAGCAATACACGAAAACGTTTTGAAAAGAAAAAGGACATAACTGTAAGAAAATGTATTTTTCTTTTTATAAATAAAATTTACAGCAAAACAGAAAAAAAAAATATAACCGGTTTATACACGTCTTCTTTTCTCTCCGATATCCTTGTTCAGTAATCTTTTGTTCGGAAATTAACTCGACTTTGTATACATACTGTATTGAAATCAAACTTCATGTTTCAATAATGAAGACTAATGTGTATTTCTAGTATAAAAATTTCTTTGCAGAATACTTCCATCAGTCGATTCGACATTAAGATCGACTCCATTGGTTGAAATAACATTAACAAAATTAACCATTGAATCATTTGATGAAAGATCTGATACTGTATGAAATCTTTTTGTTTCAGTTAAAATAGCACGTAATTGTGTATTTTCGCGTTCAGCGAGAGATAATTTTTCATTCAATTGCTTTATTTCTGATTTACATTGTTCTAGATTACCTTCAAGTTGTTCAATATAATTTCGACGACGTTCACGGCAGCGTCTTGCTGCTTCACGATTACTATCACGTATGTGTTTTCGACGGTCATCATCGGATCCAATATTATTGTTATCATTGATTGGTGGCGAAAATGATGGTGACGAACTTTTATTATTTGTTGAAATTGTTTTTTGTCGTTTGCCACTAACTAATTGATTACTTGAGCTAACTTCGTTTACAACCGGCTGTTGAGAAATAACAATTGAGGTAGCTTTTGGTGTCGGTCCACCTAAATACATAGAAATTATAGGATGAGTCGAAGCTTAGAGCTGACTTTATGTTCATTTAATAAAAGTTTTAACATGGTGGGCTCTGACAAAATTCTATTGTACCGTACATAATTTAATTAAATGAACTGACTTGTTTATTAATGATAACGAAATATTTTTAGTGCATCTCCATAGAAAAAGCAAAACTGTTTAGAAATTATTTCTATTGGTTTCAATAAAAGAAAACTCTATCTTTGTGAAGACAATATTGAAAAAGCGCGAGTGCATACCTTGTCTATAATAAACTTAGAAATTAGTTGAGAGATTGAATAGGAAGATGTTGGATGAGAAACATGTAAAATATCCCCCAAGAAAGAAGAATATTAAATAAGTCGACATAGAAATGTAGATGCACAGCAAAGAAAAGGATTTATATCCTGGAGATCATTGACATGAACAAGGGAAATAAAAGGAAGCAAGTATATCTGAACAATAGTGTAACAATATATGATAGCTAAAAAAAGTAAATTCAATTATTAATGTTTTGTCCTCATAATATTAAAGATCAATAGTAATACTTTAGAACATTGTTTCCTATAAAAAGCTCTTTTCTTCTGAATAAAATGCTCAAATTAGGAAAAAAAAAGGTAAATTCTATTACCAATAATAGCTTGTTGAAATGTTCGTTTATTGTTTGATACAATTGGTTGTTGTTTGATAATTGTTGAATGTACTCCGTTTTGATCCAAGGGTAATTGTATTGTATAAGATAATTTTATATTGTTATCTAATTGTGAACTTGAATCCATAGCACGTACTACTATAGGAACATCATTAGTACGTTGAAAATCACTATTATTAAATGATCGATGTTCATCATCCAGCGAACCTGTATCATCAAAATTATTTCTTTGCGATTGAGAAAATTGATTTGTTGAAACTGATGATGGTGATGACGGTTCTGTATGAGATTGACTTCTTATAAGAAGTTTCTTTTTCGGCGAAACAATCATACCCATATTATGTGATGCCGATGTTTCCAAATGATTATTATCACTAGTTAGCGTTGTTGTAGCTTCGCGGTCTATAGTATCTTGAGTCGGATATTTTGTAAATGATTCAAGAACATTCATTACCTTAAAGAGAAAAAAAAAAGAAAAGAAAACGCAACTCAAAACAAAAATGAATCAGAAATGATGATTCATACTTACATCTGCTGTTGATGGTATTTCTATGGGTGTGCTATCATCTTGAGTGGGAGACACAACCATACTTTCGACACGTAGTCTTCCAGCCTTTGCCATTTGTTGAAAAAACGATTCAGTAGGCTTACGCGGTTGTGTAAAGCTCTGTTTAAGGTCATCTTTTATTTTTGATAATTTTATTTCATTCGATGTTGCAGATGATGATTCATCATTTATTATCGTGGCTGTTGTTGTTGTTATAGAAGGTGGGTTCGCACTTGCATCATTATTATCATTATTGCTGATTTCAGCAGAAGATGCGTCATGTGAAATTTTATACATCATAGGATTCATAGGATTAAGAATAATATTCGGTGTCATTAAAGATGGTGTATCTAACATACTTGACGAAAATTCTGCATCCATACTATGAGTTTGTATTGATGATAAATATATTACACTAGAGAATACATAAGTTTGTCTCAAATTATTAATATGATAAATACGAAATTTAAAAAAAAAAGTCAAAATATCCAACAAAAATTTTTTATGTGATTTGATTCAATGCGCATCCCTTCCTTTTTCTGTTTGAAGGATGAAAAACTTTGTTAGTATCTTTTTTTTCTCTTCTGGTATCTTATGAAAAAATAAACAAACATACTTGTGTATGCATGAAAAAAAACAACAACATAATTAAAATGAAAGTATAAGAACTGAATAAACTATTCCGAATGGTTATCGTTTTAAATCACAAAAAATGATCGTAAATTATCCTAAAAATATCTAACACAATTAAGTATGCGAATAATAATTTAAAAAGTCATCATGAATAAAAAAAAAGGAAATTCTTTCCGATAGATGTCGTGGTTTTGTTTTACATTATACAATAGTTCTTTTTATTTATCAGAGATAAATTTGATTCTTATCTTTTATTTTATGTTCTCAAGTATACTTTTAATATGCGATGAGATCAAATGATAACAATCATAATCGAAATTAAATATTTTTGTAAAGGAAAGCTATCTCTGTTTCTATCATACCTTGATAAACATCTAAAGAACATTGCATATATTAAACATTGATTATTTCTTTACATCGATGACTAATTTCTATTTGTTATATATATATATATATATATAAGTATGATTTACGGTATGTTTCGATATAAACCATCTATTGTTTATTCGCTACGACAGTGCAAATTAATAATTTCCATAAACATAAAAGCTTAGTTTACCAAACAATATTTTCCTTTTGGTGAATCATTCTCAATTTTGTCTTAATTATTTTTTCATAGGACATCCACTAAAAGTAAAAGTAGGGCGAACTGTCATGCACATCCACACCCCAAATATCAGCTATGCATGACAAAGCTGACACGCATCAATATCGAATAGGCGGGGGAATGTTTTAATTCAGAATCGAACTTGACGAAAGCTCACAAGTCTTCTTATCTGATCATGTTCATTTCATTGAATATCATACGTTATGGCTAAATAACACTATTCAAGTAGAATTCCTTTGTTTTAGTATTTTGTAAAAAAAAACATGAATGGATTAATAACAATATAGACAGATTTAATAAGCCACTTACTAGCAATAGTGAAGGATTGTTGTTGTAGAATCTTTTAATTACTGTCTTGCTATATGGTAATATCATCATATCTCACGAAGTAAAAATTCAAATTGTGTAAAAAAGATTTTATTATCTAGTTCAAATGGTGATTGTAGTTTTTACGGAAAAATGCCTTCAAACCAACAAACTTCTATTTGCAAATTTTTTAAGCACATCTGATTTCAAAAAATAGACCCAAGCAAATATATATGATGAAAAATTAAATGACAATTATGCAGTTTTTCTTGAGTGCTTCAAATTAAAAATTCTCTGTGAGCGATGTTTACTCTTCTATAGTTGAATAGAGAAATATGATATAGATTTAGTGATATGCCAGACAAGATCAATGAAAAATCGAAATTTTATATTTAACTCAAGTGGAGTATTCGGTTTCAACCGGTTTGTCTCGTTGTTAAGTGTAGATTTTAGCGATTTATTTCTATTCTATAAATTGTTGCCAAAAGAGAGTTAAAGAAAGTAAGTTTAAAAGATGTTTTATCTATTGATTGGCAGCAAGAATTATCCGAACACGTTTTCTTATGTTATTAAAATTATTTAAAATGAAATGAAGCGAAATAATGTGATACATTCTTCAATTAATTTAATAAGTATTAAAAATAATAAATAGTCGTAGGAATTCATCTTGCGATCAAACTAAATAAAATAGGATTCGAATTGTTTTTATTGATGGATCTTCATAGTTTTATTTGTTTCTATCAACTATTTGATGAAGTGAATAGATTTTTTCGGTCTCATTTATTTTCAAAATTTTGCATGTTCTTTCTCCAAGAACATGATTTACAGAATTCGAACACTTCTAATCGATGACGAATTTAGGCAGATGGAAGAGCTGAAGATGATCATTCCGTTTTCTTGCATTGATAAAATAAGTTTCTCGATAGAAAATCTCGCCTGAATAAAACAGCTGATATTTTACTTGTTATTAGCAAAGAACAATGGTGGCTTATTAGAACTATTGTCATCATTATCATCAATGGCTCATATATCGTTGATTTTACTTGAAGGATTTACAGAGCGACGAAATTCAGTATATATTGTGGTACACTGATGGTGTTTTTAAGTATATCAATTGTTGCTAATCTTTATTGAAGCTACATAGGGGATATTCCCTATGCTAGAAGGCAATTTTTATTTTTATACTGTAGCCATATTTCAAGGGTAGCATTTCAATTAAACTCATTTTGAAACAATGCAAAATTGAAATCAATGTATATGAAAAATTTTCGGATTTATTCTTCTATCTTGATGAAGAATAGAAATCGGCAAAAATATACGCTACCTATTGAAATCGTTGCTACCAAATGAATGTGATCATTAAAAAACGCATTTCTTTTAAGTTTAATTTCTTTATTAGAGAGTAAAATAGTACCTCGTAGTATGTTTCGGGATGAATTGTTGTAAACATAGTTGTAAAACACAAAATACAGTATTCATATTGACATAATTCATATTTCAATGATCCGTAACATTTACAAAGTTTATGATCGAAGGATTGCCATTCGAAATCATTGCAAAAAGAATCTTCTTACTAAGACGTTGCTTAAAAGCTTTTATCGATACGCAAAACGAATCTATGTCTAAGCTAAAACGGGATCGTGCTCGTTCACTTGTTGAACTACTTCAACGAATGCAATATCAACAGCCGACGGTTGTACCGCCAACCAGCACAATCGATCAATTATTAAACGATGCTGGTTCATTTGGTCTTTATCAAAAAATTCAATTTCTTCTTGTCGGCATTCTTGCTGTATTACCAGCTATGACAGCATTTAATTATGTATTTATAGCTGCAACACCTGATCATCGTTGTCAATTACCATTAACAAATTTCACTGATACATTTCAAATACAATCAAGTGAACATCAAAATTATATCAATCAATATATTCCATCATCAGCAAGACTTAGGAAATGTTACTTGAATGACATCAATTCGCAGGATAAAAAAATAATCCCATGTTCAAAATGGGTATTTGACAGTACATTTTATAATACAACAATATCTACAGATTGGAATCTTATTTGTGATCGTCTTCATTTGAAAGGTATAACACAAAATGCTTATATTATGGGTACAAGTGGATCATTTTTAACTGGTATTATGTCGGATAGATTAGGACGTCGAACAACAATGTATTTACTTATATTAGTTTTAGTTCTTGTACTTAATGCAACACAATTGATGATGCATTCCAATCTTTCTCACGATACAAAATTAGTTATTTTTACCATAAGTCGATTTTTAACTGGCTTTGCGCAAACCACTTATTCCATCACGCTAGTTTTACTTTTAGAAATGACATCAGCAACAAAACGTGTCTTAGCTAGTAATATTCTTTCCTATTTTTATACATTAGGTATGATAAAAATTCTTGAATATAAAGTAAAAATCACTAAGAAATTTTATATTCATATCAGGTGAATTGTTTATTATGGTTATCTATTATGTTACTCGCGATTGGTCATTAACAATGTGGATCTTGACTATGTATGTAATGCCATTTTTATGTTACTATTGGTGTGTACCTGAATCAGCTCGTTGGTTGGTATCGACAGGACAATTATTAGAAGCTCGAAAAGTTCTCCATCGTATTGCGTATGTAAATCGACGAACATTAGAAAATTCTGAAAAAAAACTTTACGATGATTTACAACGCGATGCTCATATTCGCCCGAAACGTTACTCTTATATACATGTTTTAATTAGTGTTATAAAATCTCCTGTTATGCGTCAACGTTGTTTAATTATATTCTATATCATGATGACAAATTTAATGGTCTACCTTGGTATTGGCATGGGAATAACATCGCTAACAAATGAACATCCATACGAAATATTTCTTTTTTCGATATTTGCCGAATTTTTTGGCCTTTGTCTATGTCATTTTTGTGCAACGAAATTTGGTAGAAAAATTCCTCTAATTAGTTTTTTCACTCTATGTTCTCTATCAATATTAGCAATACCAATAACACATAAACATTATCCGCTAATTAGTTTATCATCAGCTTTATGTGCAAAATTATTTATATCAGCATCACAAGCATTATCATGGCTGTACACAACGGAAACCTATCCAACTGTAATACGTTCAACTGGTGTTGGTCTTTCAGTTAGTATTGCAAGACTTGGTGGTGTATGGGCACCGCAAATATCTTTATTAGCACAATCTGTTTGGTTTCCATTACCATATATTATATTTAGTGTATGCTCATTTATTGCAGCAGTTTTTGCAATATTTCTACCTGAAACACGAACAAAAACAGCTCTACCAGAAACGATCAAACAAGCAGAAAAATCTGATAACGATGATCCATCCAATCACGATGCATCCCATGAAGTGCAAGAAGACTTTAGCGTTCAAATAGAAAAATTGCCTATATGTTATGACGATACAGGAAGTAATACAGGTTTAGATGAAGTACCATCTTCAGAACAAATGAAATCAGAAGAAGAATCGACAGTAACAGATATCGGGCAGCAAGATAAGATCGAATTTTTAAAAAACTATGAATAGAACTGTTTCGTTTTAATTTGCTTAATTTTTATGAGAATCGAATCATGTTGAAATAGACGAAATTTATTATCGACGATTGATGTGCTATTTTTTGCAGGTCTGTACAGGCAAGTATGTTGAATTTTCAATGAATCAATATAATATATGATGTGCATATGTTTGATTAATTTGACGGGAGAACGAATCACACTATTGTCATAGTAGGGCTATGAATAAGATTTGCAGCTTTTTAAGGACGACAAAAAAATATTTTGTACTTCAGTTAAAACAATATAATTCTATTCAATGGGAATTATTATCCTCAATGTTAAGCAAATAGCTCTGAAAAAATCAGTTCCTGATGACTAGTGTTACGATCGTTTTACTACACTGTAGCCGTCTATCAACGATGATACAATCAAAATTAGATTAAAAAACTTTGCTTTGAACTTTGATCTGCCAATAGGCTGTATAACAATTAAAGTGTTCTTAAAATTTCAGTACAAAAAAAAACACTTTTGTTTTCCTTAATATATCAGATGTCAAAAACAAGATCATATGCCACTAAATCAACTTTGCTGGTGTCGCATGGAAATTGATATATTGACGTCTATGTAATTAGGTTTTTTAGGTACTAAGGTGATCATGTTTGTATTTATTGAAACTTTTAAGACTAAAAACATCTAGCGATGAACTCTATATATCAAGTTTTTTTCAAGTAAAAAATTGGCTGAAACGATCATCGGTTCCAGTCGTTACATGATGTCAATTCTTATTTTTACCAGTACTCATTCATAACTATAATATGAAGTTTCAAAAATAGACATCAAGGACAGATGCGTTATATTCTTTGATGTGGCAATTAATTCAAATTTTCTTGTGATTACGGCTAATTATGTAATTATTTATTATTTATGTCTTCATTCACCGATATTCATTCAACAAAAATACAGGTTCGAAAAAATTCAAATACCTGAAATTATATCAATTAATGAAATAAAACCAAATAAACAACAAATGTACTTTATGTGCGTTGTTGAATTTATAGCTTTATATTTCATATTTCATATTAATAGAACAGAAAAAGAAAGATAGAGGGAAAGAGAAGAAACAAGCGCACACATGTATAGAAAAAGAAAAAACAAACGAACAACAAATTTTTTGTTTTTTTTATATGACTATATGCATATGGGAGACAACACCAAGAAAAGCAAACACACTGTTGAGTTATCGCCTGCGATAGTGAAATAAAGCTGATAAATACTATATATCGTTTTCTTTTTCTTCTCGTTTTATGTTGTCTTTTTAGTTGATTGAAATATCCGACCATTTTGTATTTGATAAACAACATTTTGTTGTTGTTGCTGCTGCTGCTGCTGTGATTGCTGTTGTTGTTGTTGTTGTTGTTGTTGTTGTGATGGACGAATTTCATAAACAGTACCAGCTGTTGATGATGAACGAGGTTGTTGTTGAGCGAGAATATTTGTTACTGGTGAAGGAGTCACATTGGATTTATTACTTAGAAGTATTGACCCTGTTGAACGAGAACTAGTTGCTGTATTAGGATTAATATAGTTAATTAATGATAGAACTGATTGTTGATCTAATGAATTAACAATCCATATTTGTTGTTGTCCATTTGTAGTCGTACTGGATGGCGATGACGATGCAGATGTTACTGAATTTTGTGTTGTACGTGATATATTTGAAATAGGTCTTCTAGTTATTGTTGATAATGTTGTTTTCGATTTCGATGAATATATTCTATTATCATTATCGAAATCATCGTCATCGTCATCAAAATCATCAGCAACAAGAAGTGTTGTTGAATCACCACAATCATCATTATTATAATTATTACTATGTCGATTATTGGTTGTGTGCAATGTTGTTTGTGGTTTTATTATTCGAGATGGTTTTTGAATTAATGCTGGTGGTGGTGGTGGTTGTAAAGGAGTTGACAATGATGATGGCGGTGGCGGCGGCGGCGGTAACTGCAGCGATTTGTGATGTTGTGGAGGCGAAGGAGTAGGTGGTGGAAGTTGTATACGACGTCTGCGAAGGTTTTCAGTCGGAGTATGTGATGAACGTTTTATGAGAATAGGACGTGGAGTAGAAGAAGGGAGAGTTGGTGGTGGTGGTGGTGGAGGAGGAGGAGTAGGTGGAAGAATAACCGTTGGTGGCGGTGGCGGTTGATTAGCAGCAATTGCAGCTGAACTCTTTTCATGACGTGCCAGTTCACTAGCTATTAAACTATTTTGAGCAGCTGAATATGTATAACTATATTTAGTTTGTCGTTCTTTATCCACAGCATAGGTATACATCATTTCATCATCCTCTTGTTCTAATTGTCGTTCTTCTTCTTCTTTTAAAGATTTTAGACGAGATAATTGCCAATCTTTTCGAATTTGTTCAGTATCTAGTTGAGTATTGGGAGCAACTTGTGTTAATTGATGTTCTTGACGATAAACTTCAACACAACGTAATGCATAACGTTCAATAGGACGCAACTTAAAAAAACAAATAACAAAGGCGAGGTTAGATTCTGTAGAAAAAGAGAATTTAGAAAAAAAAAGATAATACTTGTTCATCAAGTGTTTTTAGTTCTTCTTCAACTTTGTTCATTTGTCGTTTTTGTTTTTCTATTAATTGATCTTCATTTAAATCATTTGTTTCTTCTTCGTTAAATTCATTTAATTCATTTCGAACTTCTTTATTTAATTCGTCAGCTGCACGTCGATCAGTTTCATCTTCAACAGCTGCAAGTGCTTCTTCATATTGTGTTAATGTTAAATTACTATCAGGATTAGAACTATTTGTTGTTGTTGTTGTTGTTGTTGTTGCTGCTGCTGATGCTGTTGTAGTTCGACTAGTATCTAATTTTTGTTGATATTCATTACGTTCACGGACAATATCTTCCAATGTTGATGATTGATCGAATAGATCACGAATATTATTCTTTTTAAAATAGTTTACATCAAAACTGCCACCATCAATAGTTAAATCACCGAGTAAACGTTTTTGATTCGCTTTTTTCAAAATATTCTCTTCTACTGTATTTTTACTTATAAGTCTAAGGGAAGCAAAAAGAAAGAATTGCATAGTTTAGTTAGAGCTCAGGACCTTATTTAAATATCATACCGATAAATATGTACATCTTTGGTTTGTCCAATTCTATGACATCGATCTTGTGCTTGTGCGTCCATAGTAGGATTCCAATCGGAATCATAAAAAATAACTGTATCAGCTCCTGTTAAATTCACACCAATACCACCAGCACGTGTCGATAAAATAAAAACAAATATTTTCTCATCACTATTAAAACGTTCCATTAACATTTGTCTTTGTACAATTTGTGTTGTACCATCTAATCGAACATATGTGTAACCATGATAATTTAAAAATAGCTCAAGTATATCAAGCATTTTGGTCATTTGTGTAAAGATTAAACAACGATGTTTGTCACGTTTTAATTGTGATAGAAGCACATCAAGTGTTTGTAATTTACCACAATCATATTGAATTAAACGTCGTTCAGGAAATTGTAAAAACATATTTTGTTTAATCTGATTTATGCAAGAAAGTACTTGAAAATCAGTTGATGATATTACTTCTATCATGGGTTTTTGTTGAGCAGTTTTATCTCGTCGACTAATACCATTGAATTGACATAATTCAATCGGAGATGCTACTACTTTTGTAGTACACATTACAAATCTATTTAGGAAAATAAATTTTTATATAAATTGCTGCTTTTTGCTCGTCTTACCGATGTAATAAATTTTGAGCATCAATTAAAATATCTTTATTTGATTTGATTGATTTTTGAAGTGTATCTGTTGTGGAAAAAAAATCTTTGACTGTATTTAATTGTTTATGTACATCTTGACATGCTGCAAATCCACTAAAGGTTGTTCTTCTTAGATTATTACATGGGCGCATAGCTAATTCAACTTGCGTTAAAACATCTGAACCATACAATGGTCGAGATTGACACCGATCCGTATTTAAACGACAAAGAAGTTCAAAACGAGATAAACGTTCACGTTGACGTTGTTTACAGATTTCATACTAGAATGAGTTTTTAAAATAAAAATAAAATATTTCTAATCTAAGTTATGCAAGTACGGCGTTTAAAAAGAGTTCGATTCAGTTATAGAAATGATTTATTTTCATGACAATAATTTCATGGAAAAATTTCTATTCTCATGGACATGAGATGATCTCGTGTGATGCATTTCCGCATATTTAATTGTTTGAATATATACGAACGAGTTCGTAATTTTGCGAGATATTTTCAATCGACATTAGAGAGTAAACGTATTATCATATCAAAAACGAATCTTGAAGATTAAATTCATTCGAATTCTTGTTGCGTAGTGTATAGTCTATGCATAATCGATCGATGCTGTTGTGATCATTTTTAAAATGAAAGAGAATTATGCGTGAACTTTCAGCACTAACCAAAAGCTATGTTATCAGCTGACCTTTTAGAACATCGTTAAACGCTAAGCGAGAAACTCCTATCATTTTTTCAAACAAACATCCGATTTATTTGAAAATTCAATGGTCCCCCAATGAAACATTCTTTTCGGTAAAAACTTTCAGAGTAGCCTAAAGATTATTTAAACTAGCAATAGAATAGAAACAAAGCGTCTTCGTAAGCGCAACATACGCTGAATCAATGAATTTAATAAGAAAATATTCAACTTACATAAATATTTTCTGGTTGAAATTCATCATCAATAAAATCCGCCGGGGAAATTAATTTTACTAATGGACGATTACGAATTACTAAAAATTTTAACAAACGTTAAAAAGAAACTATTATAATCAAATAAAATATTTTTTCTTTTACTTCTCGTTGGCGCATTTGCTTGATACCATAATGAACTATTTCTATATCGTTCAATAATATCCGAAGTTAATGAAATAGTTGGTCGATTATTTTCATCAATAGAATTAATTGAATCAAATATCATATCTCTTGTTGCTTGTAAAGTGAATTTAATACGAAAACAAAGAAACGTATCATTAGGTGGTAAATCAAAATTTAGATACGGATTTTTTAAATTTATCTTTTCAATCATTTTTGGTATTTCACAAGTAATTGTTTTCTTTTGTATAGTAAATGGTGAGATAATAGGTCTTGACTCAAATAAATCTGGATGATTGCATACTTTTCGTAATTGCATCAGTATATTAATAACAGACATATAATGTCCTTGTTGTATAACATCACGTGTGGATCTACATTGAATAAAATCATCATACAACTGTCGTTGTCGTTTGGATAGATGACACATAATAACATGCTCGTGCTTTTTTGGCATCTGTTTTTCCACGTCAATTTTTAAACGACGTAATATAAATGGGCGTAAAACTTTATGTAGACGCTTAATTAATAGATCGTTGGTATTCATTTGTCCTTGTTCGATCATTTCTGTTAATGGATTTGAAAACCATTCACGAAATTCTTGATGAGATGCAAATAAATTTGGCATTAAAAAATGCATTAACGACCATAATTCCATCAAGGAATTTTGCAATGGTGTACCGGTCAATAATAAACGACGTTGTGAATGAAAATTTAATAATGTTTGCCAACGTTGAGACTTGAAATTTTTTATATTTTGAGCTTCATCTAAGATTAGATATTTCCATTTTTTACGACGAAACGCTTTTGCATCTTGTAGAACGAGTTTATATGAAGTTATACAGACATGAAATGCATTGACTTTTGTCCAGCCTTGACGTTTCAGTTGACGTTCTTTGACAGAGCCGTAATAAGTTAAAATTTTAAATGCTGGACACCATTTTTTAAATTCTAATTCCCAATTTAACATAACACTTGTTGGAACAACAATTAAATGTGGACCCCATACACCTGAATACAGAGAGATTGAATTCAATTTAAGATAAAATAATCAATCAAATACCTTTTTCGCATGCTAAATGAGCAAGTAACGCGATAGTTTGAATTGTTTTACCTAAAATACAATAATATTCATTTGTTTGTAGCTAAAGAGTGAATCATTTCAAGTGACAAAATCGGTTTTGAGTTCTATCCCCAAAACGAAAGATGAATGTCTTTGAACTGTTCTTTCAGAGCTATGCTATACGAGTTTTTTTATTCGCATCTACAGAATACTTATATGTAAATGTCAGGTTTCTGTTATGATAAATATATCTTACACTTTTTTTGCCTCATCATACGTTTTTATTATTGAAATGAATAGATCTTTTTCCATTATACGAAATAGATTTGATTTAAAGAGAAACGTCGTACATCTGCCCATAAACTTTTCGAACTCACGATTCTATTTTGTTCAATAAGAAACTAGTTCCAATGCAACTGATGCATATTGACTATTTTTGATGAAGATCGCCATAACATTTAAAATCTTTTTTTTTTTTATCTCCAAATGATTTTGCCTGATCAATGTGAGAATATAATAGAAATATCAATTCGCCAAAGCAAAGTAAATGGCAACTTATTATTTTTTTTTATAACTTTCATGTTTCTCATTAAATATTTCTATTTCATTTTCTGATTTTATCTGAAGAAATTGAAAACTATTATCTTTTTACCTAAACCCATTTCATCAGCTAATATACAATTAAGTTTGTTTTCATATAAAGTAACAAGCCAATCTAATCCAACATGTTGATATTCTCTTAGCGAATGTTTAATTAAAAATGGCACCGGTGTTTTAACTTCTGTCGTATTGAGCGTAAATCCAGTTGGCTGTAATGCCTGAGCAGTTGTTGCTAAATCATTCATTTCTTTATTTTTTGTTAAGTCATCTTTTGATTCATCTTCCGATGGTTGACTTTTGTCATCTTCGTCATCGTCTTCATCATCGACATTATCATTATTTTCATCTTGTTTTGTTTCGATTGGTACATTGTTTTCTTTTTCACTTGATGAATTCGATATATCAATACCATAATAACGTTTTAATAATGCATCAATAGATTCTTCTTTATCAGCTTCTAATTCTTTTATTTCATTCATAGCATAATCGTCTTGTTCTTCTTGTTCTTCACGTTCGATTGTTTCTTCATTATCATCATCGTTCATATCTTCAGTTACATTAAAATCTGCATCATCATCATTTGTTTCTGTTTTTAATGATTTAACAAGCCAATCGGAATACTTCTCGGTTTGATCCACAATAAAATTTAAATGTAAATCTAATTGATGCTTTTTTAATTCTTGTATTCGTGTTGTTTCTTTATATTCAGCTATTTTATGCATATTCTTCCAAAAATTCATTACTTCTTTACATACAAATAGAGCCTGTTTGCGCAGACGTTTGATTTCATCACGTTGCTGTTGACTTTCAGCTTGATTCTTTTCTCGAAAATATTTTAATATAGCTAATGAAAGTTTTTTTGCCATCATTTGTTTCCAACGTTTTTCATGTGCAAAATCTTCAGCTAGCCAACGCATTTCATCAAGTAAATAATCCCAATGTGTTTTACGTTTTTTAGGTTCGATAGATTTTACTAAACGTTGATTTGACCATTTGCCACGGGTTTTTAATTCATCAATACGTTTTAAAATATCACTTTCGTGTTGAACACGATCAACAGATAGTTTACTTGGAATATGTTTTATGGTTAAAGATTGATTTATATCTTGTAGATTTTTTTCAACTTTTTCAATAAGATCTTGTTCAGATTTTATAAAACGTTGCGCATCAATCGACAAATCAGTTCGATCACGCATTTGCAAATCAACATACTCACGAACAAGATTACGATGAGATTGAACAATATCATTTAAACATGAAAACATTGTCTGAAGATTAGTTGGCGATGATGAACGTGTACGTTTTGACGGCGATTGTTCGATTGATATTTCATTTGAAGGTATTATCGATGAGCGACGTCGTTTATTAGGAGTGTTAGATGTTATATCATCACCGATGGTTGCGGTGCTATTCACCGCTGAAATCATCTATAAGAAAAAACAAAGATATTTTATGTAAAAAAAATTTGAACAGATGTATGTTTTTGCATACGCTTCTGTTTTTACCATCACAGAATGACATCAAGAACCTCTATACAATGCTTGCAATTGGGTTGGTTGATTTCAAATGAATCAAATCTAACGCGATAACTAGGGACATCTATTCAATCGAACCATGCGCTTTTAATTCGAGAAGATTATAGTTATGTATACGAAATGATTTAGCATTAAGGGGAAACAAACTGATTTCCATGATTTCTTATGATTTCCAGTGATTTCCATGACTGGAAATCAGTTTTTATATGATCATTGAAAACCAGCAGAAATCATTGGAAACCTTCAGAAATGTTGAAAAATTATGAGAAATCAATAGATTCTTTCACTATATAGTTCGAGAATTTCTGTGAGTTACATTTATTTACATTTGTTTTGCTGTAATTTCTAACAACTGAGTCGTTATTCACATCTTTAATGTATGATGATTTCTATGCCTGGAAATCAGTTTGTTCCCCCTTGTTTAGCATCGAAAAAACATACGTCGATATATTGGACAAGTTTCAACGTGAAAAATAATGTTTTGGTACGCAATACATATGAGATCTTTTTCTTTATTGAATTATGTGTTTCTCTATGAACTTCGCTCGTATTCAGTGTCATTATTCGCAATGTTGAATCTAAATGAGTCGAACACAATTGGATTATGATATGAAAATGCAGTGTATACAAATGCTATCTTTTAATTAAAAAGATCTGTTCAGTTTAACTCAAAAGGTCATAATATTTAAAAAAGACCTTGTATTCATAGCGCAGTATTAGACAATTTTTTTTTATATCCAGGAAAAGCTCACAGTATAGTAATAAAGAAAATGATTGTAGTAATAGAAACTACAACTAAAATTTTCACTAGTTCATAAATTAGTATCAATCCAATACTCAGCGAGTAGAATATTAATATCAAGTGTTCTCAGTTGACATATTTTCAGCTATGCTGATGGTTTTTTTCTCTCTATTGATTCATGATTTCATATGAGCGTGTTTCATTGGGCGGCATATGTGAATAGAATCCATGATGCCAACCATTCGATATATTCTTCTGTTCTAGTGACATTGAATCTTTGTATAAATCGAAACACATTGCAAATATATCAAAAAACGTTTTTTTTTATGTTAGAAAGAAGCCAGTATAATTTAGCTTCATTTTCTTGAACTTAATGTTGCACAACCTTTGCTCAGTCATAGCATAATGTTTTTTGTTAAACACAGCTGGTTAAATATAAATTAACTGTAGTGAGACTTTTTATCTTTTATAAGTTTTTTTTTATGTCGAAAAAAATATTTGCTCAATATAATTTTTAAATTCTTTAGGAATGAAATGTATCACCATAATAGATTGATTCAGAATGTTTTCATGAAATATAAGAAGAGATCATAAAAATAAACGTGCTTTGAATTCTAATAGGAGAATCCGTTCATTAACAACTCTTATGTTTTCAGTAATCATTTGAAATATGTAAAAAAAAGTATAAAAAAAAGACAGATTTATGGGTGTGAGTGTGAGTGTGGGGGTTAATTTCGACAAACGGGAATCCACGCGGTCAGTTCGTTGTTTTGTGACAAATTGCTGAATAGAACCTGATATATGGAATACAATGAAAGTCATTGTATGTCATTCATTACTGTTTATTGGACGTCGTGAGTTCATCGCCGTTTATTTGCCGTATTTATTGTTCGATGAATTTACTGCAATGACTGAGATTTGTATCATTTCAATGCCACAACTGATAATAACAGTCAATGCCGAGAAATAGTTGAAAGAAACAATGAAAACTTCAAAAAAAAGTCGAGTCTCTCAAATCAAACTCGAGTCGAGTCGGTTTGCCGAGTGCTCGACTCGGTTTCGGTCTACGATGTACAAATCTTTTAACAGGTGCTTGCAGTGTATTAATCAAAATAAATAATTTAAAGTAAATAGAAGCACTAAAAATCCCAGCGATACAAATTGAATTAAAACATTAGTTTTTTTGTTTGGATCGACAAAACACAAATTTATTATGTTGAAATTATTCTATATTGATGATTCCACAATGATGATGGAGGTTTCTAGAAACTCCTGACAAATGAGATTGAACCTAAATAAGTAAAATCTAGCATTTGAACTACTTTGGTTTGAAAGAAAAACATGATATGAAGTAGAATATGCGTTAAATACAATTAAATGCAACCTATCAAAAACAAAAATAATTTTCTTCTGAATATGCCATTTCATCATTGGCTTTAGTTGGTATTCATGTTAAATTCATGTTTGATATTTCCATTACAAATTTTCTTTATGTTATAAAATTTTTTGAACTATCAAGGACGAAGTCAAAATGAATCATTTACTTGACGGGCTCAACCTTGACAAAAATAGAAGATAAAATAAGCCTATAATAGAATGTTGTATATCTGCAAAGTATACGTGTGAGGTATTTCTATCAACATAATATATAAAATACCATGTGGAACGCAATAAATTATGAATGAAATTATAAGCTCCGCCCAAAACAAGTCAACAGAGAATTTTAAATTTTCCACAAAATAATGAATAGCAGAAGTATGTAAGCGATAACCTGAAAACCATTTTTGCTTATTTTAGAAACACAGAAATACTTGAAGCATCAATAGCATTAATCATTTTCTATTCATTGAAGTTATTATGACGTTTCGGGTAGTCCTTCGTCAAATTATTTCTTCTACACAAATACAATTCGAACTCTACCAGGACATCTCAATTGTGTCGATAAAAAACTGCGCTAAAAATTGAGGTCATGAAACATATATGACCAACAGAATTGTTTTTAATAATTTGCTTGTTTCACTCTCTTCGTTTCATAATTATGTTTTTCTGTTATTCAATTGTTTTTCTCAACGAACGAGAAAACAGTCTTTGGTGCTTTGAAGATTTTTACTAATTTATTCCGTCAGAAACAAAATTCATTATGAAGAATGTGCGCTTCTAGCATCAGATTTTTATTTTGTCCTTGTAGTCATGACAGATATGTAACTTAAGTCATTCTCGACTTACCCTTCAATGACTGAGGTATAAAAAAGAGGAGAAAAGAACAAAGCTGAAGGAGAAGAATGAAACGAAGAAAACAACCTAACAGTTACAAAGTACACGTGTGCGTGTGTGCTCCGTCATTGCAAGCATACGAGTGTGGAGGATGAGAGAATAAAGATTAACAAAAAAAAAAAATTTGCTAAATTGCGTTGATCCTGTTTAGATTTATTTTGTCGACAACTATGCCCTGCGAACTTCGGAAAGATTCCCGAAGGAAGAACTTTTCTTCTGTTTGTCAAGTTTGTGGCTGGAATGAAGCTTCGATTCATTATGACGTCATTTGTTGTTTTCCTTGTAAAATGTTCTTTCGTCGCAATGCACATTTAGATTTGGTAAGTTATAATTTAATTTTCTACCAAATAAATTGTTTTGGTTTTTGTTTATAGATTACGTCACAATGTGAGTTCAATGGACGATGCGATGTAAATACGCACAGTCGAAAAAGTTGCCGGTTTTGTCGAATGAAAAAGTGTTTAAATGTCGGAATGAAAAAGGATCTTTTTCGACCAGCACGTACCAAACGTCATGCAAAACGGCAAGACTTCAATGATGTTGTAGAGTGTCGAAATAAGGTCTACGAGCACACAAATGAATTGTCTCCCTCACTTGAATAATCTTTTTTCTCTTTTTTTAAATGCAGGTTCTTGTTTCGTTGACAGTTCAGCCATTGGATCTTCTTTGCAATGATCGATCATTGTTGAGTACCGATCAATGGTCTCTTTTGTCCAATGTTGTTCATTGCTATGACACCCTTAGTCCTATTCCAGAGATTCAACTAACTATGGCCACCTTTGCGACGGCTCCACCTAAGCATCGTCTGAAGATAGCCGCCAATAATCTAATGGCGACCATGAATGCGTTCTTTTCATCGGTCTGGTCGTTTGTAGCAGCGGTGCCACATTTCGCTGCGTTACCATTGATTATTCGCCAGAATCTCATTCAGCGGAACGTTCATCAAATGGGCGCATTGAGCGGTGCGCATATATGTCAAGAAGGCAGTTTTCACGATGATCCTTTCAATCGAAGCGTAGCATTTTCAGAATACGGTGAACCACAGATGGTTCTCATGTTAAAAGCTATTGAACTAGGAATTTTGGATCGAACAATATCAAAATTATTTCTACTTGTTATGAGCCTTTCAACTGCTTCCGATATGGTTCAACCATCTAGTAATTATAAAAATCTATGGAAAGGTATTCTTCTCAGCTCTAGTGAATAGGATTCACTTTCTCAGAAAACTAAAAATATAGGTTGTGAACGGAAAATAAGAAACATTTCTATGCTGAGCTTCTTTGTATTATCTCATGAATTCTTGTTATCGGATCAGAAAATTATCAAAATCAACTTTAATACATCACTGGGCTTGTTGAATCAATCTCTCCTTTTTTTAGGTGACAGTATCTGCTTTAGTACCAAGCAAATATTAGCCATGCAAAATATCTTTGTTGAAGTTATGTTCAAATATATGATTCATCGATTTGGCTACATTCAAGCGTCCGTTTATTTTGCTGAACTTATTAAAAATACTATAATTCAAGGAACATATCTACAACAGGCAGAACAAAACTCAAATCATAATGATATGATACAAAATATCGTTCAAAGATTCGAGCAATCTCTAATTCTGTGTCAACAACCTAGAAATGTTTTGTCTTCGGTTATACTTTAATTTATTGTTGATGTTCATTTTGATGAGTACTGTTCTATCAAATAAAATCCAGTTATTATATATCAGAGTACACTTATACATAACGGCGCGTGTAAAGGGACTAGCCGTGCAGTATCTCATATTCACATTCCTCCTTATGTTTAAAATTGGTTTCAAATGAACCACTCTTCCTGTAAATGTTAATTTTCACTGAAAGTGTTGGCCAATTCGTTTGTGTTTTATAATTGATTAATATCATTAATATCATTAATTTTCCCCCTCATTTAGAATCATGTGTTCGTGCGTTGGATAAAAATAACTTATGCTCGAATAGTTTTATAAATAGAAAATGAATACGTTGAAACTGATCGAATCATAATCGTTTTCATATGGATGTTGAATGTGGTCTTCAATTTTATCTACGTCTAATGTGAAATCTTTATGAATGATGATTTGTCGGTGTGATGCTATTGATGAGAGAAAAGATGAAATCATTTTGTTCCTTAATGATTGACAAAACTTCTACAATAACTTCATTATTTACAACTGAGGTACTTTTATTGAATTTAAATTTTCAAGTGCTTTTTTCATCAACGGTATGTTTCGATGACACAAGAAAAACAAATAAAATACTCATGTTTACGGTTCTTCTTTGAATGTAATGAATCTTAAAAGCAAGTATTTCTTTAATTTGTCATGCATATAGCATCTTGGTAATACTTAAAAGATCTTAAACTATAGTAAGCACTCGAAATATTATTAAATTTGAGTCTTTCATTTACTTATGAATGCGTGTCTTTGTTCATTCCAAAGCGCTTTCATTAAGAGTAGTAAACAAGCACAAATCTGAAGTCGTATTCAGAATCTTCCTAATGTTTTTAGATCTTGTTTCACTCTTAGCTCCTTCTCACGCAGTTCCGAACGATTGCTAACTCTCTAAAGTTTGGAATGTTAAAACGACTGGGGTTTTCTTCATTCTATGTGAATTTTATCTATCGATAAGTTTTCATTTTCTTCATCAGTTAATTATTTATAATACTTGCTTTGTTTAAATCTCACTTATATCTACGTATACATAGACGACGTGGTCGAATGTTCGTAATCATTTTTGATACTTTCCTTATCAGTAGCCTATTTCATCATAGAATAAACTGAATAGGATCACACCATTATTTTTTCACCTGTTCGATTCAAAGTAATAGTACTTATTGTCTGCTTTTAAAACTCAATAATATTCAACGAAAACTTTGAAATAATAAGAGAATCGCTTCGGAAAACCGCGAAGATTGATGCCGCATAATTATCCATGGCTACACTCAAACTTCCTGTTTAATAATTTCACACTATTTTTTAAACGTCATGAATCAATGATAATCTTGACGGTTGGCCGTCATAATGTCGAAAGGAAAAATATCTAAAGGAAAAATGGCGAAAAAATTATATTGACATGAAACATTGTCAGATAATATTTTAGAGAATTGTAAATAATATAGTGTATGTTTTTTGTATGAAATTAAGCTGAAATGTAAAGGTGAGAAAAATTCTTTTTAAATATGTCATTTTTTCGCGAGCTTCACGAAGCTCAAGTTTTTCTTTTCCTGGAAGATGACTATGATTGCAAACAGTTTTCATCAATCGATTATTTGAATCAGTATGCACTTTTGCTGCACAATAATTAGTAGTGCATATCCAATACCTATTAGTTGTTGTTACTTTATTCAACTCTTCTATTTTACTTGTATCAATAGTTAGTCATTCCTATCAATACTGACTAAAATTCTACACTAGTAAAATTATAAGAAAAAAGCAATGAAGTATATGTGATTACAATCGCCATATACTTGAGGCATCATTGTTTTCTATTTTTCACTTTAGGCATTTTTCCAGCACACCGTCTTCACATTAGATCATAAAATAATATTTTATTAAAATTTATTTTCATAGGCAGAAAATCGATTTATTTTCTTGAAATGATAAGCATTCCTTAACTAGATAGAAACACAGAGGCTCAAAGAGTATAATGAAACTTGTTTCCATTGCTTTTGCTTTTGAAACTGTTTTAGATAAACGATATTGATTAAATTAGATTTAATTATTAAAATATATGAATCACACGCATACTGCTTGCATGGTGATCAACGATAGAAAGCACTGCATACAGGTTGAACAGCTGTTTTTGTTGTCGTTTTGATCAGAGAACAAAATACTGAAGCCAAACAATTTTTGCTAAAACAACATCTCGCTCTCTCCCACAAGAACCTGTAGGAAAGAAGTTCCGTCCCTTTTATTTATTCCAAACAAACATTAAAAAAGCCTTATTTTTTGTGGAAATTTTTCATATAGTCACCATGTTTTTCATAGTGTTTTATGAATGTGTAAGTTATTTACTTCATTCGTTTCTATCAAAAGGCAATGACCTCAAAACAAGGATACAATTAGTATTATTGATATAAATAATCTTTCCTAACATGCTTCAATTTAACGATTATGCTTTATGATCATTTAAACTTTTAGCGTGTTAGGTAGTACCGAAGAAAAAAGTACGTTCTTTGACAAAATATCTATGACGTCTCGTCCATTGTTTTTTTATTGTTCCACTAGCTTTGTCGACGTTTCCGTTCCTTCCTTCGCATTTCATGGTGAAGTAACATGTAGGAGAAGAAAAAAAAAGAAGATATTACATTGGCTCTGAAGTTGATTAAAAAAATGTTCTGGCTAAATTGAAATGTTTCTAATTATAAGCTGAAAATAAAATTTCTATCTGGTGCGCATTCATAGTTGAAGAAAAAGAAAAAAACACCAAGCATTAACGATTCACCGGTGCAATTTAATACGCTATTGGATTTTTTTGCCTTGTTCTAGTAGAGCTCCATAAGTCAAACAAAAACAGAAATGTACTCTATTTGACAGCATGCAGATTTATTTATTCGTTCCTTCTTTTCTCATAATCAAGTAGCTAAACAAGTACGCTCTGAATTTAATATTTGCATAAAATAATGAAAAATAGTAACAGATAAGGCTCTTTAAAATAGAATAAGAGCCTCTTACATTAATGAGAAAGTTTTCTAGTGATATCATTGATTGTAATGTGGGATTCGAAGCTTGTTCCGTATAGTTATTTCAGGAAGATATTTCATCTTGTCTTCGCTGTGAAGTAATAAGCAAGTATGTAAGCTTAATCAAATAGAAATTCTATCGATAGTGAAATTGGCAATCGAGGACATTTTTGTTTCTTTATACAACTTCAAGCAATCTATCGCCTGACTGCACCATCATTAATACCACCAGTACTCATTTTATTTTATGCGCAATTTGAATTGCAATGCAAAGCAAAATATTTCAAGACAAGTCACGTCTCTCATGTTTGCTTTGTCGGTTATTTCATTCTAGGTTCTCAGAAGAAATAACAAACTAGCAATATTCCTTCACGTATAAAGGAACGAGAAAAAAAATCAAATTCATTTCACCCAACTTGTGCGCTATAATTATGTAAACGAATGTAAGCGGGACAAAAATCATCGACCAACCAAACAACGCTAGTGCACATAAATTAAAGACAAAAATCTTGTTGCTATAGAAAATGGCTATTTCCAGAGACGACACAGTGGAGACTGAAGTAGAAGATGATACATTTGAATATGCTCATGGTACTGTAATGATATTTGCGTGGATGGTATTTGCTTCGACAGCTATTCTCTTTGCACGTTATGGCCGTGCAATTCGTTTCGGTTCGAAAGATAAATTCTTAGGTGAAAAGAATTGGTTTCAAATTCATCGTTTGTTGGCTTGTTTGACTTCAGTTACAACGTTGCTTGGATTTTTTCTTATTCTTGTTCAAACGAATGCTGAATGGGTAAGAGTCGATGAAGGTCAAACGTTTGTCCATTCTGTTTTAGGTGGCATTATTGTTTGCTGTGCACTTTGGCAAGCATGGATGGCACTGTTTCGTTGTCATCCAGACGGTTCATATCGCTTCATTTTCAACTGGCTCCATCGATTGACTGGATCATTGGCATTTTTTCTTTCCATACCAGCTATTTTTATAATTGTCGAACAACTGGGTAAAAATCGAACTGGCATGATCATCATTCTCTCACTTTGGTCGATTTGGGTCGTTTGCATTGTGATCATTTTAGAAGTTATTCAATTTTTTTTCCGAAAAATATCGAAAAAAGCAGTTAGCCAGCGATATGAAACCGAACCATCGAGAATTCGTGCCGAAAATGATGATGGTAGTGCAACAAGATCTTGGAATAATCTATTGTTGGTTTTGTTTTCGCTGCATTTTGTTATATCGATTGCACTGGCAATTCCACTCATTGTTCTCATTTGGAATTAGAGTTAAGCTATGTTTGTCGTCAATTCAACGGAGCCAAGCAGAGCTAGAATAGTGAACTTCATCTAAAATCTAATTCATATCTTATGTAAACGGCATTGTAGTAAACATGTAATCTTTATCAATAACACTTTTAATATTTGTATTTTATTTTCATCTAACAAAATATACAAAAGATTCGTATCACAAGAAGTTTTAATCAGTATTTTTCCTTTGTGAAAAGCTGTCTTGTTGTGAGAATCAATCAAAATAAGATTTCATTTCTTTTAATTAATTTGCATTTCAAATGTGAGAACAAGGGTCTTAAAAAAACGGGTAAATATTTGTAATAAAGTTGCTTTTTTTTGCTTGAAATCATCAGTAATAGGATTTTTCATTTGAAAATTATAATTCTGATAGATTAAAAGATCAGACGTTCATTTAATTTAAAATCAAGTTTTACATCAAATTCCTGCAGGTCATTGTCAAGTAATGATTAGTGTTGTCTTTAATGAGATTGGAAAATAGTCAGCTCAACTCATCGCTTCACCAATCCAAGGTGTGAGTTTCTGTTCAGTGTCGGTAAGAAGATGACACAAAAGAGAAGACGCCCCAGGCTTATGTTTCATTTGATAATTAAGAGCTGTTTGCTAAGATCTTATAAACTGATTCAATTACAGGAATTGATCAAAACATTAATTAGATTTTTCATGAATACAACTGAACTGGCTATGAAAAAGAATCAGTCGTAGACTACATCAATTATTCTACGGCCAAAGAGAAACACAGTTGATTACTAATGTTGCGACACAGTCGTTTCAACCCTGTCAAAAATGAGACCTTACCAGCCAATATTAAAAACTTTATTTTAAAATAGAACAAATGCGCAATGATACAAAACAATATCTTAACTTTCTGTGCATTAATATATCACAGTAATGGGAAGGAAGTAGTTTAGTAGAGTGTCTTATATGTTACACATCTCTAACGTTCTTGTGTTTTGAAAATAAAACGATGGACTAGATGTCGCCTCTTCTATCATTTGATATGTGTTGATTGGTATGTTGTGTGCCAACCTTCAGATTTGTGAGTCAGCATGCATGAAATCGTTTTTATAGGTNTATCACAGTAATGAGAAGGAAGTAGTTTAGTAGAGTCTCTTACGTGTTACACATCTCTAACGTTCTTGTGTTTTGAAAGTAAAACGATCGACCAGATGTCGCCTCTTCTATCATTTAATATGTGGTGATTGGTTTGTGTGCCATTCTTCAGATTTGTGAGTCAGCATGCATGAAATCGTTTTTATAGGTTTCATGCCATTTGGTTTGACGGATTGTGAAGATATAATGTTGAGCAGCAATCTGGTTTGAAGAGGGATTGAAATGATGTGCTGGGAAAATGTTGGTTGATAAATATCAAAATGGTAGAATATTGAAACCGAAACATATGAAAAAAATAATGTCTCCAATAGATTCGAACTCTAATGACGCTTTAGTGATTGTTGCTTTTCCTAAATATGCTACTTTGTAGTATACAAGTTTAACGAATAGTAACTCTGATACCTAATACGTAGTATAAATCAATAACAGAATTGAACGAAAAACTATTGTATAAATAAAAGTTGAGTGTCATTTCTGAAGCTGCCTCATCCTATACCTTTATCGAATCATCCTGGCCAAGTTTCTACAAACAAATGCTTCCCCCACCCCCTTGCATCCACCTATCACATACACTCCCTATCCATTCTCCTACCCCTGTATTCGTATTGCCTGTAAGCATGCGGTGGATCCATGCTCCTCATATCTTCCACATCGATTTAACTTTCCTGCTGTATAAGCGGATTTCCGGAAAAGCCGTACAACGCATTATATGAAGCTATGTGCTAATAAAAACCTGTTTGTTACTTTTTCCTTTTGCCAAAGAATTTAATAAGGGATTTATAGATTGCATATCTATGCAGGATAAGGGGAAAAGTATTTACTTTAAGAAAGATTTCGACAATGTAAATACCATGCAAGAAACCAAAATTCGAATAAACATCTCGTCATCCGTATAAAAGAGAACTGAACGATGTCTCGCAAAATCGAGAGACCTTTCTCATTTCGGAAGTAATCTTTTGTTACATGCAAAACCAAAGAGAAATCAAAAACTTTCGGGGAGAAACCTTGGAAGAATTTTATTCATTTCGTGCAGAAATAAACATTTCATTCGAAGTAATAGAATATATAAGAAAGAATTAGTTTGTCAAAGGTACATGCATACTTGTGGGGTGACATGACAGTTGAGCTCCCGACCGACACTTGAGCCTTCATGGATTATTTAAGAAGAAAACAAAATTGATATTCATTCACTTTGTTCAACATTAGATACCTATACAAAAACTTTTCTGCACATTCCAACGAGATCGATGGCCCGCCATTAAATTTCTTCATATCTATGTTCGTCATCTTCACGAAAATGTGCAGACTCTTAAGATCATATCTGTTATTATATGTAGCATCCACTAGAATTCGATTTCATTCTATTTTTATGATACAATGTAAACTGAAAAATCTTCAAAAATCTAGGACCAACTTCAACTCGATTGCCTACGACTGTATCCAGCTCAGGTCTAATGGGGCTCTCAAAAAGTGCCATGTATTGCTATTGAGTTACGGTGCGTTTTGAACATTTGGTTGACACACATCAAAATCTATATCTACTCTTTTAATTGAAGAATGAATTTTTTTAATAAAAAGAATTATGTAGTTGGCGAAAAATTACACTCAAGCTATTGGTACCATGACAACATGAGCCGTACGTGTATTCGCCAAAGGCGGACGTAGGATAGAATAAAGCTATATTTTATACGATATCTGCAGTTTGCCAAGGTGAAAAGGTGTTTCTGTGCCCATTTCTAGTCGATACTATTGTTAAAATGAACAAGGTGAATGAATATCAATTTTGTTTTTTTCTCAAATAATTCATGAAGGCTCAACTGTCGGTGTACCGTTTTACTATTATTATCACAATCAACAATAATTTATACAACATATGGTGATATTCATCTTCGATTATTTCCTGAATATGCTCCAAAAGCATGTGAAAATTTTATTCAACATCCAAAACAATCATATTATAATGGTTGTATATTTCATCGTGTAATGTTAGACTAAATACAAATGGAAGCCAATTTTTTTATAGGTGTTGTACCATGTTCGTGGTTGGATAATAAACATACTATTTTTGGAAGAGTTTCAAAAGGAATGAGTTTTGTTGAAAAAATTTCTTAAGCTAAAACAGATAGATTTGATAAATCTTTAGATGATATTAAAATTATTTCAATATCGATTAAATAAATTCTCGTTCTTTACTCATTTATTTCAGATGTCACTTCAAATTAAATTTATTACAAAATTACAAAAGTAATCTTTTTTTCAAAAAAAATTTAAATAATTTTTGTATTTAATTGAAGATTTTCTGTACCTGATACAACATTAGTGATACCTTGTTCAACAACAAATAGTCAATTAGACGCTATTTTAAAAGGATTATTACAAAGAACAGGTTATTATTTATTAATTATTGTTAAAATAATAATTTAATAATATAAATATTTTTTAGTATCTTCCAATGTTTTATCAAAACTTTTATTTGATTTTTTATGTTTTAATAAATTAATTCGTTCATCATTAGAAGAACATATAAAAGAAAAAGATGAATCATTACTTGAAACAATTATTGAAATAGAATATATTGAAAAATTTCAAGGTCCGCAACCTGAAGATGCATTAATACATGATATTTGGATATTAGATTGTCAAGCTTTAAGTGATTCAATATTAGTTGCTTCTTATGATACTAAAGTTCATTTATGGAATAATCAAAGAGAACATATTGCAAGTCTTCCAGGACATGCAGCTCCTGTTCGATCACTTGCTTTTATTTATTCAGGTTGGATTTTTATAATTAAAATACTATTTTTATTTAGGTTTTAATTTAGATGAAGGTGAACATGAATTTATAAGTGGACCACATGATCAAACAATTTTAATATGGAAATATGATCAAAATTAAAATAATGTTGAATCATTAATAACTTGTAAAGGAGGACATCATGGAACTATTGAAACATTAGCTTTACAGAAAAATATTTTTTGTTCGGGTTCTTTTGATAAAACAATTAAATTATGGGGATTAGGCTTGATTAAGAAATATTTTGACTTTTTTTAAAATAATTTTCTTTTAGAAGAGTTGAATGAAAATGAAAAAGAAGAAAAATCTCAAATAAAAGAACGTCGATTAACAATGTAAATGCTCATAATTAAAATGTATCATCAATTAGTCGGTTATCTTCAAATGAATTAAATATCAGGTTCATGAGATCAAACGATTAAATTAAGGAATGTTGATACAATACAATCAATACAAACTTTTGTTTGTTCTTTTCAATTTTATTTTTTACTTAAATTTATGTATTTTTATTTTTAAGGAATGTGGAAAAGCTATTTTTTATCAGTTGATATGTCACCAATTAATAATTTATTAATTTGTGGTTTTACAGATCGATTTATTCGTCTTTATGATACACGTCTTCAAGGTTTATAAATTTTACTTTTATTTTGAGTTGGTGGGGAATTTGATTTTGCGGCAAAATCAAAATGCTTATACCGCAATAACAATTGCGGTATTGCGGTATACTGGCATTGCGGTATAGCGGCAGTGCGGTATAGCGGTAGCTAGATGTTACATGTCCCTTACAGAGACAAAGCGGCAAGGGGGAGAAGGTACCACCCCCGCACCCTCACTAGGTACCCCATCCCCACACCCTCACTGGGTACCCCTCCCCACACCCACAGTAGGTACCCCTCCCC